ATGGTTTTTTGACCTTTGCCCTTTGCCCCTTCGCTCCGCCCCCCCCCCCCCCACCCCACCGTGCCAACATCTATCTTCAACCACCATCCCAAACCATGTTTTATGAAGTTTTGAGCATTTTCAAAAAAATTTCATTTGACCTTTGACCTGCGACAGACACACAAACAAACAAACGAATTTCAGTTTTTTGACCACTTTTTTTCGACATGACCCTCCTTACAGTCGAGGGAACAAAAGGTAACAGCGAGTCATTTAGAAATATTTAACCATAAAATTTTGTCGATCATTCATCGAAATGGCTCGCAAAATCTGTAAATGACTATTAATCGATATCCTGTAAAAATAGGCTAGTCGGATAATTTTATGATAATTAACACATTTTAGTTTGATTAGTTCACTTCTTTTCTTTTCTACAAGTAACTTTCTATGAAAGAATTTCTTCTTATTGCTTTCTTTTATTGGGGAAATCTTCTTAATTGAGTTTCTTTTCGTTCATTTTCCTAATACTCATTATGAAAATGCAAATATTTTAAAAGAAAGTCTTGTTCTTAGTTGGAATATAGAAGCCATTTATTTATTGAAATTGTTTTTATTCTTGTGAGCTATATACCGTCAGGACTATTTTGAAATTAATTTCTTTTGTTTCATCAGAGTTTTTGATAAGTACTTTGAACCTATACGATAAAGTGTCACTGGATTCTTTTCTTCTGCTGCACATGTCTAGTATTAAAAGCATTTCACATGATTGAAGGGACATAATCAACATAATGGAAGAAGAACTGTGCAAAGTCAGTTGCAAGTAAAATTTGTCGTTAAAACTTGCCATAAGATGAGATTTCAATCCTTTTTTTGTGATATAACGAAACTTTAGCGAAGTACTCGAAGTTGAATAATTTTTGTGTGATAGTAATGAAACAGATCTCTGTTGACTGTTTCAAACTGAATTTTTTAGACTTCGCACCGAATTCTCGTCTTCTGGCTGTAGTGGAATTAAGAACTCAAACTTGAAAAATTGATTATTTCTCCAATGTTTTCTTTGAAACATTTTGTCTAAGTTTATTAAAATAAACATTCGATTTATATTTTTCACTTGTATTTTGTTAGTTTCTAATCTAAATAATTTCATAAGAATGATTTTTTTCCTTCTTTTTGTTTTTCCATTAAATATATTTCAGTATATTAATTAAAACGATTCGACCATCTACTTTTTCTTTTCATTTTTCATCTATTTCCCTTCTTTAAAGACATTCTTTGTTATTATAATCAAGGTAAAGTCAATTCCTAGTGAACGTGTTTATACCAGTTATGCATCCCAGATTGTTTAATTCTATAAACAAACGACTATTTATTAAATTTTATGATTGTTGAGGTTTTTCCTTTTATATACTGCTACATTCCTATTGTTTTCCCTGTTTATTACTTAATTATAAGGTATTTAGCATAAAAAAACATAATGCAAATGCCAAAAACTGAAGAGGAAATCTAAGAATACATAAATGATACCAAGTTTAAATACTTCGATCACGATATCATTGCTTTAGTTCAACGATCACAGGCAACGTTACATAAACAGGATCAATACCAACATATTGCATATTTAGGAAATAAAGCAAAACAAAGTTGTTAAAAAAACTGATACTTTATTTATTTTAACTTATCACCAATTGCTTTGATGAAAATTCTTTTATAAGTCGATATTATTTTTCCACTCGTACAATTCTTTGTTCTCATTTTGTGTTTGTGTCGAAATCCAATTATTATAAAAACAATTATTTGCAAAACAAACGAATATCGATTTTAGCAAAAGTGGACTAACAATTTCCGAATATCGACTGAAATGTTTTATAAGTAAAGAAAGAACAATAACAACAACTGATCTCATCGAGATCCAATTATTTTTTTTTTGAAAAATATGTCGTAGAAAAACTTCTTCTCAAATATCTAAAGTGAATTTTTTATTAAAAGAACAACTGACATGCGTAACTACTTAATTGAATATTCAATGAAGAAAATACTTTAAGGAGTATTACTTTGAGTGTAGTCGTATCATTATTTATTAGTACTTGTTTGAGTAATGTGAATAGTGTTTTAAATATAGTGTATCTTACTCGAAAGCAAAATATCCATGATAATTACAATTTTAAGAAGATATTCTGTTTGATTCTTTGTTTGAAAAAACAAAAGATCTCTATGTTACTTTGTAAAATTAGGATGTACTTTGCTCTGTTTTCACATCATTGCGTACGAAACTTTTCTCATTCTTAATTATAGGTGAAACCTAGACTGTTTTTTTCTTCATTCTTACTCAATATAGTTCATCACAAGGTTTTCGATTCTCTTTTAAAATGAACAAACCTTCTTTTTTCGAAACAACAGGTAGTATAGTTCAACTCATCGTACTTAATTTCGACTCTTGAATAGTTTAGTTGATAACGATTCGATTTTTCTATTAACTAGTTTCATATTTTTATTATTTCTCGATAACTATCAATTATCTAGAAGACAATAATTTCAATGCACTTTTCACATATTAGTTTTAAACTTAGAATCACGTTTCTAAATATGCATAACGCTGGTTTGTTCTCGGTTACTTCTTATATATCGAGACTGTAGAACTTTGGTTCCCAAAGAAAAGTATCCAATGACACTTTATAAAGAGTTTCTAAGTATCTATTGTTACTTTCTTCTAAATTCCAATTAAAAACACTAAATCTAAGTATCGTGCTGGAGAAATTATACTCGCTCGATGAGTAGTTTCACTACGGAATGGTATTTTAATTAACTGCAAATCATCCATATACAAATCAACCGAAATCTTTAATTCTCTTCAATGTTGTAACAAAGTCTTTCCATGAGAAACTGCAATCCAACAAGACTATCCCACGCACAGAACTCGATCTCAATCGCCACTTCGAAAGTAACAGATCGAGACTATAGTAGAATCCGGGAAAAAATATCTTTGTAGTAGATGATATCTACGCTCATTGTCAGTCTGTTTGGATTGGGGGGAAAAGACTCCAATCCCGTTAAGCTTTCCATGGGAAAATATAGAAAGACAGGAGAGAAAGAGGGAAAATATTATACTTTTTCTTTTTATTGTAAAATATTTTTCTTTTCAGTCTCATTCATTTCACCAAAAAACGCATTAATAATGACTTCAAGAAATGTTTTTCTACTATTGTTATTTATGCTTGCTATACAAACGATAGCAAATGATATTCAGTCTGTTCAAATGTCAATTCTTATTGACAAAATATTTCAATGTGTTCAGTCAACTTGTTTACCATTTTATAATCAGACAACATCAAACATCTTTCGTTGTCAAACGAATTGCTTGAATCGAGATGAATGTACGGCAGCGACTTTTTATCAATCGAATTTACTATGCCAATTATTTAACAGTCCCACCAATCAAAATACGAACATGTCATATCAAATGAATGTTGTGACAATGATTGCGATTTCTGGAACACGATATCCACCTAGTTCGTATCAAATAGAATTCCTACTGTTATATTTTCGTCGTAGAACTATCTTGTCTAAGCAGAAAGGTTACTAGGGACACTAAAAGAATAAGCTAATTAGAAATTTAATATTATTTTCATTCTTTTTATTTAAATAATGTTCTTTATTTATCAAACAGTTATAACATCAACATCAACAACAGCCACAACAACAACAACAACATCAACAAAAACAACAACATCAACAACAAGTACCACTACGACAACATCAACAAAAACAACAACATCAACAACAAGTACCACTACGACGACGACTACTCCACCACCATGTGGCCCTGGTGTGTGTTGTAATGCAACTTGCCCTGCGTGTACTTATGGTGGTGCCACCTATTTTTGTCGAGCATATAGCAGTAGTACTAGTGGCTATAATATCTATACAAGTTTAGCTTCCTGTAATGCTAATGGCGCCACCTCTTATTACTGTAATTATAGTGGCAGTTGTGGGTCTGTAGGTGGCTCTCCTGGCTTTGGTTCTGGCTCTGGATGTTAAGGAAAAGTGTATTTATCATTTGGATATGGCAGGAATTAACCTTTGTGTGCAGAAGACGTCCGCTATGAACTGGAATCGTACTGGACTCTGTGTGCTGTTATCCGCGAGTGTATTGCATTTCTTTTTTTGTTATTCATTTTGTACAGCTAGTATTCAGCACAGTGACTGCCTTGCATATTCTTGTATAGCGAATGATTTATTTTCGTATGTTTCAGTCAAACTGCGAGATGTTGTGTTATAGCGTTTACCAGGAAATTCTGTTTTTTTTTAGGTACCAACTGATTTCGCGGAAATGGGATCTGTTGATCGGACAAATTGAGCAGTCTGAAAAGCTGTTATTGTCCTATAGGGCATAGTAGGCATAATGGAGGTATTAGCCGCTTAAAATATGTGATTCTGTCTACTGAAGGGATCTGTCTCAGTGAGACTGTGGAGTGATTGTCGGTGTCCTATATGCCCCATTATGAAAAGTCCGTAATATGGTTTAGGTCCATCTGGCCTGCTATGAACTATTCCATATTGAGAATTATGGGCTTAAGTTAGAACTTCTCCTTTTCCCAGAAAACGCTATAACGCATCAGATCCTTTTTCTTTTCTGTGGTTCTTCTAAAGAATAGATTAGAAAACCATGTAATGGTTTATGCGAACATACATTACGTTCATAAACCTAAGAAGGGTTCATGTCACGACCATCAATCCTTTGCGAGAATTAAAAATTCGACGTTTTTTTTAGTGCATAATTCGTCCAATATTGCCTGTTTGTATTTGTTTAGATGGATAGCAAGCTTTAGTTAAGTTGCATAGAGTATTAATTGTATATGACGGACTGGTAGAGAATGCACTCGTTATTTCGCTTGACTTATTTACACAAGATTTAGCTGTCATTTTATCAGTAATTGGTTGTTCAAGAGTTGCACATGTTTCTTTTTTTCCACTTCATAATTGTAATTGGTTGATAATATCACTGCATATATATTTAGAAGTGGATGTGGATGTCTTCTCTTTACGCTGAACTCACACCCACTTGTCAAATATTTGAAATTTTTGATAATACCTTGAGAATGTACATCATGCTTTTAAATAAAAGTTCGTTTATTTAAATTTATTAATAAATGATTTAGACTACAAAAATAAACATGAAGTTCTTATTTGAATATTAATTTAAACAATTCTTGACGAAATATATGTCCTGTAAGTGTATAAATAAAAAACATCANTTTGATGGTATTTCAATTGATGTTATTATATTAAATTATATATAAAACTTATTATGGCACGATGTGTGCTGGTTGTAATCGATGATAATTTATTTTACAACATGATTCTTTCTGTTTTTTCTCTTTATTTTTTTTTCTTCTATTGTGATATGTGGATCATCATTGATGATGCTTTGGACCTGTTCGATATTTTCGGATGTGGTCTCCGTAATAGGTCTTCCGCCTCGCGTTTCATCTTCAATATCTTGTCGACCTTCACGAAACCATTTGGACCATCTTGCAACAGTCCTAAAGGAAGGAGCTTCGTCGTCGAAAACAGTGCATAATTCATTATGAATAATTGTTGGTTGAACATCAAGTGCAGTACGCTCTTTAATGTAAAATCGAAAATTTTCCTTATCCATCTGGAGTAAAGACAAACAATGTTAACATACACATTAAGCTGAATAATCATGTGATTCTCTTATCTCTACACATACACATATACGCATATCGATGACTAAGTATCACACAATAGAGGAAAAAAAGAAAGAGAAAAAACAGAAAGAATCATGTTGTAAAATAAATTATCATCGATTACAACCAGCACACATCGTGCCATAATAAGTTTTATATATAATTTAATATAATAACATCAATTGAAATACCATCAAATAGCATAGAAAGATAGAGCTTCTTTTTCTCTATCAGACTGTATAGGAAAGAAATTTTTTTGAAGCCTACTATAAAGTAAAAAAGTGTCACTGCCACTACTTTTGGTATGCCCTAAGTACTTAAACAATCGATAAGTTGAATTTTTTCAACTAATCGAATTTAACTGAAGAAGCCCAAGTCAAAACCTATTCCGACGTACTTTTTCACTCTCTTCTTAAAGACAGGAGATATAATGTTCGATTGAAAAAAAATACTTTTGTAACTATTTCAAATATTTTATTGAGCAGAAAGAATTTTCTATCCAGACATTTTCAATAAATGTGTTTTAGATTGACTATCGAAATCCTTTGACGACGTTAATGATCAATAGCATGATGTGTTTGGATAGATTTTGTAAAGATCACACGAGTATCACTCCATATTCCCAATAATGATATTAAAACAAAATACGTAACTCACGATATACATGGAATTTTAAATGCATATTGTAACCATGAAATATTTGTTCGTGAGTACATGTAATTAGCTTGTTCCAAAACACTGTTTTGTTGCGTTTTTACTTCGACATCGAGTATTTTTGTTCAATACTAAATGTACCAACTGATCAAATCGAGGACTAATGTAAATTCAATCAGATGTTCATTCAGCATCAGAACCGCATCACTTGTTTTGAGTACAGACAGATGAGGTACTAACTCGTCCAACCGGTCAATGTCAAAACAAGGTTCACATTGTATGTATATTCCACTTAACAAAAGGTGAACGTATTTCAGATTGTGATATTTTCGCGAACAATGACGAAAATCCATCCATGCCATTACCAGAGACGAGAGCTTCGGCTTCGGTGATGCATCCAGAATCTGTTCGACCATGGATGTTCTTTGGCAATGCTGAACTGAATCTGTATTGATTTTGAATGTAATTGATCGTGTATGATTGAGTGATAGATTCCAATGTGCATCACATCTTGATATCGTTGATGCACTTAGCTAAAAAGTACAAATACGTTATTCACAGAGTACAGCGAATACTTTGTACCATAATAATACAGATTTCGTGGAAAACAAACTCGAACATAATCGCATCACTATGAACAAGAACAAAGGATGTGGATTGTTGCATGGATTAAGCTACACTTGTACTGATGATCTCAATTGTTCTGTATCAGAAACTTTGTTCACTATATCTTATGTGTAAAGTAATTGATCTTTTACATTCTAACAATGTTTTGCTCCTTTGCGATAGACATCACTCATAATCCCAGTACTATCTAATTTGTATGTTCAGTACCTTCTTGCGTCAAAGTCTTCTTCCAAGCTCAAGATATGAACGGAAAAGCAAGTGCCACTCTTCTCATCGATTTCTTTCTACGATTAAAACTGAAGGCGAGAGACATTCGACCTCATCTCTCGTGAGCATTCAGATTCTGGAATACGACTCTAAACGACATCTAGCGAGAAATGCGTTATATGTATCGCAAAATAAATAAACTTTGAATGACTAATTCGAGTTTGGACGACATGAAGTTTGATTTTACTTCTCACTATCAAAGAATTTCATAGTATCTATTTTTGAGTCAAATAATAAATCAAATCCATGAAGTTGATGACTAATTGTATGCAGTCCGGCGGAATGGATGAAACAAATTTCATATTTCGTTACTGTGACGCAATTACTTTTCAATGTATTCGAGAAGATTCACCGTTCAATTCAAGTAAATTGCTTTCGTTTCTTTATTTTCAATGTAATATAATGACAAGAAAAATTTTAGTAGTAGGACAATACAATATCGAGCAATGTGAGTATGTAATATAGTAGGAACAATTTACAACATGATAAGCATGAATATGGATAGTCGAGAGCAACAACGTTCAATACAAATAGTTGTTTTTTCACAGGTCAATTGTCGATTGTCATCTATGAACCAAAACCATAGAGTGTACGACCTTGTCGTTTGAGTGCATACACGACATCCATTGCTGTAACTGTTTTGCGTTTAGCATGTTCAGTATATGTTACAGCATCTCGGATAACATTTTCAAGAAAGATTTTCAATACACCGCGTACTTCTTCATAGATTAAACCACTAATACGTTTAACACCACCTCGTCGAGCCAAACGACGAATAGCTGGTTTTGTAATACCTAAATGAAAGATGCATATCTTTAGTAACATATGCTCAACTAGCATTGACGGTTAATTACAAAGAATACTTCATGCGTAACAACTGTGACACAAAATATTTTCTTTTGTGTGTCAGAGATATACACATATGACTAACAATCTTGTCAATGAGAATCTATTTACCTTGAATATTATCTCGAAGTACTTTGCGATGACGTTTGGCACCTCCTTTACCAAGACCTTTTCCACCTAGATAAGATTCGAAAGACAAATTAACTATTGAGTATCAATGAGCATATGACCTACCTTTGCCTCGTCCCGACATTGAGAGAAAATGCGAAAGTTAAGTAAGAGAAAAGAATCTAAAATGACATGAAATGAACAACAAATTCGATCGTTTATATACACTTTTTGACGTTATATCCTATTGGTTGTCATTGAAAAGCTAGCTGTCCTTCATATTGACGTCCAAAATACGACCGACACAAAAATAAAAAAGAAAGACATATGAGAATAATTTTCAATGCTCACGCCATCTTTTCGTAGGAATTGAATTCTATTGTTTAGTACACAAAAAAAAACGAGGAAACAAGAAAAGAAAACTAAGGTTACGTGCCGATAGAAAAAGAGATTCCCATCANATACGTTTAAGAAGATAATCTGCTGCGAAAGGAATACGAACCATGTTATTAAGTTTATCGCGAACTTTTCCTTTCGACCATTTCTTCTTTTTCGCTTTACCACCACCTGATGAACCTCCTGATGCTTCTTTTTCCTTCTTTTTCGGTTGAGCAGCTTTAGCCGGCATTGCGAAAAATTATCTGCAAAAAAAAAGAACATTTAGTTCTTTTCGCGAAAACCTTCAAAGTACAGTTATAAATATTGCATTTGGAGAGTCGTCATATTGTTGATTTCTTTATAATGATTTGGAAAACCTTCGTTGAAAGATGAATTTATTTTGTTTTGTCCAGAAATGATTATCGTAAAACAATTTTTTTCATATTTTTACATACTTTTATTATTCTTTCGAAGTAAAATAAACCTGATTTTTGCCTTTGTGAAAGGACATCTATTGAAGATCTTACTCAACCAATCGACCATTTCCATATTGTATCCACTCACTCGCACTCGAACAACCTAGTCTGCACAATGAGTGGACAAGATGTTGGAGTATGAATATAAAATAAAACTAAGAGAGTTCACAATGAAAAAAGTCTTCTCTTTTTCGCAGAAGTATCAATGGATATCAATAGAAATGAACAGAATCAGTATGAAACAAAAACAATGATAATGTTTTATCTCGTTGAATGAATGAAAACTCTTGTGTGTAAATCGGCTCGTAAAACGATCAAAACAATCTGTGTTCATCGGATATCATTTGTACACGATTGAGGTCTTCAGAACTTTCGGCAATCCTCATTTCGATTGATGACACTTTCTATTTGAAATACTTTCAATAAATATTCGAATCACAAGCAGTGATCGACATTTTACTTGCGTATATATATATTTGCTCGCTCTTTTAATATCCTTTGCCTCTTTTATCTTATCATTAACACCATTTACACTTGTTCGCACCTACTTTACGCACTTATTTTTCACGATCATTTCTTGTGGCAATATGGTAGGCAAAAGATTTTTGTAAAATTTGTATAAATAAATGCAGCTTTTGATTAACTTTGTTTTAAAATAACTACCTGTGGCATGTAGGCAATGCAGTAAAAATGAATATTATTACTTCTAGGATAAACAACCCGCATCATCCAATCTTCAAGGCTTAGAAAACATTGAAACGATTCCTCGAGGTACTCCTTCTGAGACAATAGACTTTCATGCAAATCAGCAGCTTTTCTCCAATGAACATCAACCTACTGGAAAAACTGTTCGAGAAGGATCTGATATTTTACGTCTACAAGACGAAGACTTTCGTGCTCGTATTAATGATATTTCAACAGGTCGAACGCACGTGAATAACGACGATCAATCTCAAGTTAGTGTCGCAGAGTATGATCCAGTCGTGCATCCAGATGATAAACATGGTCGAGTTTACTTATCGATTCGATTTAATCAGGAGTCTAGTCAATTAATCGTACAAATTCTTGATGCACAAGGTCTTATACGACCTGAGCAAGCCTATGCACCTGAAATGAGTATGAACTTTTCACTGATTGGAAATGGTCAGAAGGAAAAACATTCACGAGTCTTTGTTGAAAATGCTGCCGTTCTGTGGAAAGAACCAATGGTCTTTTCCGATACTCACGACAAGCTTCTTGGGCAAACATTGCATATACTTGCTACAAATGATACCGATCCGTCGGCACCACGTGATCGAGAAGTAAGAGATGCCTTCATCGTATGATGACTAGTTTTATTTATTTATTTATCAGGCCTTTATTCGTCTACGAAATCTTTCACGTAACGGCGATGAAATAAAACAATGGTAAGCAGAAAATGCGAATCTCTATGTAATGGTCGTTTTTCTTTAAGGTACAATTTGAAATTTGTCGCGTCATCATGATCGTCTGCTTTATTCAAGTGTTAATTTCTCAAATTGTTTCTTTTGGTTTTCTTTTCTTTGTATCTTCCACGAAAGCGTCGAAAAAAATTTTTTTCTCTCTCAAGTTCTTATAAAACATCATTGAAGGAAAAGAAGAAAGAGTAGTTTAAAGATCAATGATTTATTTATTCATTTATTTATTTATGCACTGATTTATGGTTGTAAGAGGCTACCAGAACCGATGAGTTGGTTTGGTTTAACGGCGTTTAAGGCTTGGCTGATAATACCTTGGAAGTTGTCGATGAGGGCTCCTAAGTGTTGTTGAACGAGGTTGACGAGTGGTTGTAAAAACTGAAATATACGTATGAAAAATGAGCATTCTTTCGTATCAAGGACATTACACTTACTTCAACGCCAATATTTAAGTGGGAGACAAGAGCTTCAGCATCAGCACCAACACGGGTGAATTCAATACGAGCCCAATCTGGTTTGCTGATCCACTAGCAACGATAGGGAATCGATTTAGTTTACAGTGGCATGTTCGTTAGAAAATCAACTTACGGCATCAATATTTTGAACGATTTGAAGAAATGAAGAGAAGACTTGTTGGTAGATTTGTTTGACTTGAGCAATGAATGGAGCCAAGACCTTGAAAAGTAAAAGGAAACGTACTCATAATACTGAAATGTTTCTAGATCAATTCTGGTACTTGTTGAAGGTTAATGTTTAAAACATCACTGACACCACGTTTGCCGAAGAGTCCACCAATAAGTTGCGAAAGTTGTTGAGTGAGCATGCTCAAAGCGTCTAAATAGAACGAAGATAGTTTTGGTCAGAGCAATCCAATATCTTTGAAAATAATTTCAACGAACTGGTTTGGATTTGATCAAGCATAGGGTTGAGCAAATTTTGTGTAAGGAAGTCAAGTGAGAGTGATTCTCCGGCGCAAACGCCAAGGAAGCAGAGAGCAGCGATTAAAGCGAAACACTTCATTTTGTCGACGAGTGGTTCTGATTGAATTGAAGCAATTGAAGAAAATCTGTTAAGATCGGTTTATCGAATATTTCGAATGCAATCTTGTTAATTTATAAGGGTAAATTATTTGTCTACTGAGAAAAAATAGACATCTGTTTGACGCCTACGTTTTCCAATTTTTTAAATTTATCATGAGACCATGAAATACACAAATGTTGTCGAGAAACACCTGCATCAATTGATGATAGTAATATCATTGTCGAGTTATATTTACTCGAAAAAATGTCGATTACATCTGCATATTGAAAAAATGCAAGACGTACATAAATGAAGGACAAATGATTTTTAGTCAGATTTGTTCCGGTATGAGAGAAGACTATGCTTTGTCGACCTTATCATTTTACACTTTAATGTAATTAATAAACGAAGGAGAAACGTTTGAATTCAATAAAACATTTATTAACAACAATAAAGAAGAAGGCTTTCTTTTTCCTGACGATTTCGATATGACCTTATTTGTTCGAACAATTAGTCATCAGTTTGTTCTTGCTCTAGTGACGTCAATGTTCTGTGTGTGAAAATAGCTCTTTCATGTCCGTTCGAATCTAAAAGTCGATTAACACTCCATTGTAATGCGGTGTTCCATGTCAATAATTTAGTTTTTATTCGAATGAACGATTGTTGTTGTTCCTGATCAATTGATTCCAATGATTGATGATATTCAATTTCATCTGACATTGTTCTCGATGCTGCTGAATTTGACCACAATTCAACAGTTGACCAGGGTGGAATAACAAATTGATTAGGAAATGTATAGCGAAGAAATGGTTGAGAATCCGTCTGTCGTTCGATGTGCCATCCAGTTAAGTCAAAAGATTTCGTTGAACTGATGTTATCGATGATAATGACGTCACCCGACGGAGAACAACCGCTGAACATCACTGAACCTTTGGAGTGCCGACGAAAAATCGTTTTAGTATGTGTTAATTCATCGTTATCAATTTCATCATCTAACGTTTCAGTCATTGTATTGTAGCGATTGTTCAGTTATTGTTTATCTGCTTGTCAATATAAATGATGAATGAAAGAGAAAAAATGAGTAGATATAACAAACTAGTCAAGCGTTGCTGAATGTTGCGCATTCATTGAATTTGATTGCCGCATCTTTGTTGATTCAAATGAAAAAATCGACGAAGTCAACGGTATACGATGTATAAGACGAACAAAGAACAGGCAAGTACAATAGTGCAGAGTAAAAGTTATTAATAACACGAACGTATATAATTTTCCAAGGAGTCCGACAGACGCGTCTTTTTTTATTCTCCCTTTTTTCTTCCATGCTTCCTTTTTTTCTCTCTTCCTCTCCCTTCTCCTCAAAAGTAGTTTCATTCGGAAGAATTTCTTCTTCTCCTCTCTTTTAACAAGAAAAAAGATTAGTTTATATGCTTATTGAACTTCGTCATCAACTTGAATGATTAAAAGACTAGTGAAATCATTCGCATTCGCCAGGAAGAATCCTGCTCACCGAACAATACAGTGAGAGGAAGAGAGAGAGAGAGAGAGAGAGAAAATGTGCACAGAAGAAAACGACACAGTTCTTTATAGCTCTTATATCAAATTATTACATACTTCATTGTCCTTCATGTTTCTTTTCTCAATCTATTATTGAAGTCTGTTGTAAAGTATCGTTTGTCTTCCATTCTGTCTATCTGTGAACAAAACTTTTATTAAAATAAAAAAAAAAGAAAATCAGAAATTTTCTCTCTCGTTTTTAAAGGTTATGCAAATGTTTGTTTTCATAGTTGGAAATTAAAAGTGTACATGTTAATTCATTCTCACAAGTTAAGTGGTAGAAAATTGAGTTATGTTTCCAAATGATTTAATCAGTTTACTCGAATTTCCATAGTAGAAAAATTTGTTTTAGGCAATCGATCTGCAAGAGATCACCAATTATTGATTTTCAACACAAGGAAATTTTTAACAAAGATGAAACATCGAGGCTCGACGTCAGTGTTTCATAACCGTATCCCATGCACTCGAAATTGTATCGTATGAATCGAATGACATTGACTAGGTATTAAAAACAGGTCAGCCAAGACGGCAGACAAAGGTGACATGTGATGCACATAGTTGCAGATCATTACGGACGAATGCATTTTTCTTCCACAAATGATGTATAAAAAACCTTATTTTTTAGGTTTCATATATAAAACAAAACTTTGTCAGATATCCATACTCATACAGTCATGTGTGATGGTCATGTTATTTAATAAAGCAAAGATCCAAGCTTCAGTTGATTTGTCTGAACTTTGTTTGGATCAATTCAATCGAATTCTTATTGCTCAGACTTGGTCTTTAGGAAGTGTATTGTTGTGACAGTGAATAAAAGGATCCGATATTGTAGAACTGAAGCAAAATTTAGACATTTTCTGTTGCACTGATATAGCTGAAGATGGTGTTTACTAGAAGAAACGATTGGTTAACGAAAGTTAACCAATAGGAATAAAGTAAACAATTAAGACATAAATAAAACTTCCAGTATATTGCATAATGAAATCGATCTGAGCTTTAAGATAAAATCAAATTCTGAGAGCAACAATTTGTATTTGAATCTTTGTAGATTTGTTTGTTATCCCAACAAGAAAAAGATGCTAGGCACAAGAACCATGTTTTGTGTACGACAAATGACACCGACATATAGACACTTCATGCAGGTATATTTCGTCTATCTTCTTAGAAATCTCTCTCACCAATTGCAATGAGATATTTTAGCAACCGATCACTGATATGTCTCTGATCAATACGTATCTTCGTCGATGCCTTGCTCAAGTCGTTGTTGAAAAAAAGACGTTCAAACGTGATAAACCGCATATTAACATTGGAACAATTGGTCACGTTGATCATGGTAAAACAACTCTAACAGCGGCAATTACTCGAAGTAAGATCAGACGAACTCCGAACTTTCTTTATTGGCTTCTTTGAATAAATAGTTCTCAGCGAAAAAAAACTGGCTAAAGTTAAAAACTATGAAGATATTGATAATGCACCCGAAGAGAAAAAACGTGGTATTACCATTAATGCTGCGCATATTGAATATTCAACACCAAATCGTCACTATGGTCATGTTGATTGTCCAGGTCATGCTGATTATATCAAAGTATAAACTGACAATTATCAAAGAACGAAATTGACTGTCACTTTTTAGAATATGATCACAGGTTCATCACAGATGGATGGCGCTATTTTGGTAGTCGCTGCAACTGATGGTGTCATGCCACAGACACGTGAACATCTTCTCCTTGCTAAACAAGTAAGGACATGTCCATGATGAAAATTTACATTTTCTCTTCGACTGATTAGATCGGTATTGAAAAAATTGTTGTTTTTATGAACAAAGCCGACGCTGCTGACAAGGAAATGCTTGAATTAGTAAGTCTACAAACAAATCTTCCTTGACATTTTTTCAAGTGTCTGACTGTATTCTAGGTCGAACTTGAATTACGAGAACTATTGACTCAAATTGGTTTCGACGGTGAAAAGACACCCATTATACCTGGCTCAGCTTTATGTGCACTTGAAGTGGGTTTTTTCGAGTTTCGTGCGCATGAAAATACAAAATATTATTCGATTTTAGGGACGAGAACCGAATTTAGGTAAAGACGCAGTTATGAAATTGCTTGACGCTGTCGATACTTATATACCTGTGCCACCACGAGCCAATGATCAACCATTCTTATTACCTGTTGAACATGTTTATTCCATACCGAGTACGCATCGAAGAATCTAGTACCTTAATTCTTCTCTCGTTAATAGACAAAGGTACAATTGTAACTGGCCGTGTTGAACGTGGTGTCGCGAAGAAAGGTGATGCAATTGAAGCTGTTGGTCATAATAAACTCAACAAGGGAATTATCGGAGGTAAAGTTTTAATTTGTTACTTCGATTAAAAACATTATCAAAACTGTGTGCAAGGTTTGGAAATGTTTCACCAAACAGTCGATCAAGCTCAACCAGGTGATCAATTAGGCATTTTATTGAAAAATATTCGAAAAGAAGATATCCGTCGCGGTGTTTTCATTGGCAAGCCTGGTTCATTGAAAATGCATAACAAATTTGACTGCCAAGTAAGTTAGAAAGTATAAGGTTTGACCGAAATATCGTATTAATTATGCATTTGATTAGACATACTTCTTGTCGAAGGAAGAAGGTGGCCGAGAAGAACCAATTCCAAAAGAATTCGCATTGACAATGTATTGTCGAACATATGATATCGGTGCTAAAGGTGTCGTACCCGAAGGTCGAGAAATGATTATGCCTGGTGAAGATGCATCATTAACATTATACTTGAGCAAAAGAATGGTTCGTATTGTTTTTTTTGTATTTTGCGTTTTGTTTATGCGTCGTGATACAATTTTAGGTTTTGGAAAAAGGCGCTCGATTTACACTACGTGATGCGGATAATAAAACAGTTGGCACTGGTGTTGTAACTAATTTACATGCTGATCCAGCGCCAGAAGAATTGAAGAAATTTTGGAAACGAGCAGCTTAGAAACGAAACAATGTTTGTGTTGTTTTTTTGTAGGATCGTTTTTTGATTTTGAAGTTTTCGTTTACTCTTGTATCAATCATTTTGAAATACAAATGAATGATGCAATGAATGCTAAATAAACGTTGCCATGCAAAACTCAGGCCACTGTAACTCAAAAGTTCGTAGAATCGTACGGAACGCTATCGTGTCACATGGCATCAGACATACTGTCATTCTAAGAATAATTCATCAACGTGGAAAAAAAGAACATTCCCATAATCAGATTTTCTAGAGGGAGTATTTCTCATGTGACTGTCTGGCGAATCCATCAAGCTGAAGCTTGGTTAATAATAACTGTGTTTTTGACCGGATATTACAGACTAAAATAGTTTCATTCATTCAAATCTGTGATTAAATTATCATGGCATCATTGTATTCTTTTCCCTTATCAGTCTATATGACTAGTTGTCTTCGAAGAGGAGAAAAAAAGAAAGAGAATATATTGGATAGGTGTTTTCTTCTTTCCTAGTTACCTACGGCATGAGGAAGTCATCGTTAAGGCATGTTATCAACAAATGGCATGGCATCAAGAAACATTTCTAGCGTTATCAAACGTCGTTTACATCTATTGTGATGGACTTCAAATACATTGGTGGTGAAATGCCTTGGTCTCTACCGTTTGGTGATCATTTTCATTCTGCAGATTCGCAAAAAGGTATTGAGCCACAGTCAAGAAACTTCTTATTTCTTATTTTGTGTCCTGAATTTAGCAGCTGAGCTTGAAATAATCGCTCGTCGACATGGATTTGAACAACTTATAGCGTCCCAAAATCATTCCAAATGGTCGAATGCAGGGGTCTATTTCACAAATGAACCAATCGATTCGAATCTAAGCGAACATCATCTGACAGGTTTAATTTCATCTCGCTATGAATTTGTGAAATGATTTAACGATTGTATAGATTCCAATGATGGCCATAATCATACATTCTGCTACCTATGTTCTGTTAGTTCACATGTACATGAGCGAATGCCACCTCGTGATAAATCCCTGGTATGAATTTCGATTGATGAATTCAATTCTATATTTATTTTTCTCTTTTGAAAGAGACGGAAACTTATTCCATATAAGAATCCAAAAGCTAGATTATCATCATCGCTGGACCGATTAGATAGGCATTCATCCGCGGATTTAGTCTCATATCGATTTGTCGTGCGAACTGGTAAAGAAAAGAATAGTGGCACAAGAGCTCAGGTAGAATCTCTCAGAGAATAAATTTAGTTGAATTTTCTTTTCGTTTTTCTCCAGGTATATCTATACATATATGGAACGGAGAAGAATTGGTCATCGATTCATCTACATGGTCGAGCGAATTCAAATTCTTCGACATCTATAGATGGTTTTCCCAGTGGTTCGAGTCGAACGTTTTGTTTAAAAGGTCCAGATATTGGACAACTACATCATTTAAATGTCAATGTAAAGATTTCAACATGATTGTGTTCGTCAGCTGATTCTTTTGTTTAGCTTGTTGGTTCTCGATCGGATAAAGAATGGTTTTTGAAAGAAATTGAAGTGACCAACCTAACGAATGGTACGACATGGTTATGTGAATTTAATTGTTGGTTGCCAAAAACTAATAGTCAGCAGGTGGATGAAGTCAGCTTGAGTTCGTCTCCTCGACATAAAGATTCATCTTGTGCAAGTAAGAATTTATAACGTGGCTCTTTTGGCACTTCTCTCTCTATTTATCAAGTTTATATTCTTCAAATTCGTACTGGTGACAAAGCATTTGCAGGTACTAATGCAAATATTTATACGACTATTCATGGCTCCGAGAATCGAACGAATCGGCTACGATTGACGAATGATCGAGTAAATCTATTTGAACAAAACCAATTAGATACATTTGCAATTGTTGGCGAACATCTCGGAGATTTACTTGAAATTAGGTCAGTAAAATTGACCATATCTTTTCTCTAATTGAAAAGTCTCCTCTTTCATTCCAGTCTTGAATCAGATAGCAACAAATTTGCAAGTGATTGGTACATAAAAGAAATGGCGATGTGGAAAATCATTCCAAGCAAGGGTGACCATCAATCCCATGCCTACTTCCCGATCAATAATTGTCTCGGAAAGAAAGTAACAATATTGAAATCCAAACGCGAAACATATCCGCTCATGGATCGACATTTGAAGGGTAATTTCTTGCTCATTTAACTCGATAGTTTCTGATTGTTTTCGTCTCCAGGTCCGATTTGTTACCGAATCCTTGTTAAAACTGGTAAAGCAATGAATGCTGGTACAGACGCAAATGTCTTTTTGATTATCTACGGTCAAAATGGTCGAACAGCTGTTCATCAACTTAACAATCGATCAAAAAACGATTTCGAACGAAATACATCATCGGAATTTACGGTAAGAACAGTCAATTTGTCGTTAATCTTTATTATTTAATTGTGTTCATATCCGATTCATCATTATTTTACGTAACATTATAGTCGAATCATATTCCAGTTAATGACATTCTTTTTATAGTTAACCTTGAGAAGATTTTCTCAGCAAATCTTTCAGAGTTAGAACTGCTTAGTATCAGATAATTGAGAACTAAGCAAATATATGATAATCGATTCCTAATGTTTTTTACTATTTATTTGATGAAAACATGTCGAAAAGAAAAGTTTCGATCATTAATTGTAACGATGACATTGAAAAAAGTCCACTGATGGATCGATTATTATCTCTAAGGAATTCTCTTCTATCTGCATACATAATTGTAATGAATAATGCTCAGATCCTGGAAAAAGAAATTCTTCAACAACATTCTAATCTTTATTTAGATTATGGATATTGATATAGGAGAAATACGCCGGATCAAAATCTGGCATGATAATTCTAATCCGAATTCGGCCTGGTTTCTTGATTCGGTGTTGATCGAAAAGAAATATTCGACATGTCAAATCATTTCAGACGTTTATACTCAACGTCTGGAACAAATCAGTAAAGTTATCTATCATCAAATAGTTAACGGAAGACAAAAACGTCACTCGTTTGATCGACAGAACTTAAGAATTAACGATGAAGGATCAAATGATCGATTAGGAAGTGGCCGAGGTATTCTACGTAGTCCCACGACGTATGATCGAGCCAGTTTGCAGAAAAAAGTAACTTGGGATGAACAAAGTATTGGTTCCCAGGATGATTTATATTCATTGGAATCACAACGTACGAGGTCATTGCAGAATATAAATGAACAAAACAATAAAAGAATTGAATCTTTTCATCGACAAGTCCATTCGAATGATTATCAAGTCATCTGGATATCATCGCATAGCTATAAGAATGATCACTGGACAATCAAATCAATTGAAGAAGGTGACTCGTTTGATTTAGATCACACAACACGTTCACTGCTACTTTCCGATCGAGCAGTAGCGAACAATAAAATGAAACAACTAACACGAGAAAATCACGATGAATTCTATGAATTCCAAGCGAACCGTTGGTTAGCTAAAGATAAAGAAGATGGAAAACTTGAAGTTTATTTAACGCCAACATCGACTCATGGATCACCAGTCAAACCCGACGCAAGCATGGATTTGAAAAAGAAACCGCCGATCCCATCCAGTCAACGTTTCGATATTCCACGACACAAGTATGATCATACAGAAAAAGGCTCGAAACGTCTCTCCTCATCTGATCTTGTGCCTGATGAAAGATCTTCACCAAATACAGCAAACTCACCTGATGTAATGAATGATGGCGATGAAGAATTATTAGCGAAATTGACAGGCGAACCCTCGCACCGTCCACGTTCGTCGATCGGTTCCTTATCCCCGATGAGCCAACGTGCCAAATCTCCACAGAATATTAATGATCAACGATCTTCAATGGAATTCTCGCGTAAACCATCGATTCAACCAAGATCCACAGTTTCCTCCTTGCCATCTTCGAGTCAAAATCTGACTAGCGATCGTTCTACTCCGCTACGCCACTCTCGTAATTCATTAACTCGAACTTTCGATGATTCGCCAAGTAACGCTCAATTAACACCTCGATTAAACTCATCATCTAGCTCACGTCTGAAAACATCTTCAAGCACGAATGAAGAATTACTAGCACAATTAACCGAAGAACCAATACCACGTGCTCGAGCATCAGCTGCTGCTTCCTCCGCAGCATTGAATCAACGTAATAAGTCATTTCGAAACGAAGATGAATCATCAGACTATTTGCGTTCACTAACTAATTCACATCTAAAGTCATCACAGAACAAAAACAATCTTTCCACATCGCCACTCACTAGTCAAAACTCATTCGATAGAAGTGGAAGAGAACGATTGAGCAATTCTCGAACAACACTTGGGCCAACATTGTCATCAAATGAACACACGATACCAGCACGACATTACAATGAATTGACTAGTTCAAGATCTAATGATCAAGATCTACCAGCAAAAATAACAACTCCTGAGTCAGTCTTTCGTCCGCGATCTTCCGCTACGTCATTGTCACCGTTGAGTCAGCGTGAAAAACCAACACGTTCTATTGTTAGTCCTCTTCATTCTTCAATACATGAACGCGAAGTGTCAACTAGAATACCATCTGGATCATCGAATTATCCTCGATCATCAATTTCTTCATTATCACCAAGCAATCAACTATCAAAACAAGGTCATTCAAACAATGAATCCACGAACGTGTCATCAATAACGTCATCGACTGGATCGCTCTTAAGACCCAAATCAGCGCGACGTTCTAATCCTCTCTCTTCTTCGCAAAAATCTATTTTCGGTAAGTTGAAGCACTCTAATATGCATTCTCATTTTCTTATTTATATTAAGATCAAGTATACAATTCAGCTTATGGTACGGCAGCAGCATCCGATGATTTTTGATGGATAGGAATTTTTGTCACGTATCCTATCATCGGATTAATCTTTTCTTATTATAAATACATTGTGAATGACAAAATGCATTTGGAATATTTGATGTTTACAAAAGTGCCAAACTGAACTACATTTCTGTTTTATTTACCTTGAAATCTTTTCTTCTTCTTCTTCTTCTGCCGTAATGCAAGTTTTCATTGTTCGTCTTTTGTTAACATATTATCAAACATCAATTAGTACCTTCGAGCAAAATAAAACAAATAATTGTGTATGTATGACGATAAATCTTTCGTCATCCAATACCGTTTGGAAATAGACAAATGAACCGACAGAGCATTAAATGATACATATCGACTGAGTACAAACAGCTGCTAGGCGATCATAAAATCTATTGATCTATCTAGTTATCTGCACGGAAGCTGTGATAATTCAATGAGGCATAGTCACATTGTTGAGTTAATTTGTTTATCTGGAAAATGTTGAAATCTGACTCTTTGTTGCTAACTGATACGTTTGATATTTAATACGATTAATAATTAGTGAAATAATTTTGTCCTTGTGTGCTGGTTTTAATCTCGCTAGAAGATTTCAGCTTGAATAGATTTATCGACGAACTACTCACATGTCAGATTCTTAGTAACTTCCGACAAGCTCAATGACATGATTAGTTGTCGATCGACATGATCACACAGAAACATTCATCATTGTCAACGCCTTTTCTTGTTTTGTTCAGCACTAAGATAAGACCTTGTTGCACTCTTGTCAATCGCTTAGACTTGTTACAACGAAACAAGACAATAGTTTTTAGACGAAAGAGAAACAAACGATCGGTAACAACGCATACAAAACGGATGATAGTCCCGGCATTGTAGTTAGTATGACTGACGAATAGTTTCTTATATTGATCATTACTCAATGTCTTTCTGTTATTTCTACGTTCAATTACTGATGATTTTTTTCTCTCTGCTCCTCTCTCTTGTTCTATTTGGCTCGCTATTTTTCTCGTTTTTTTTCTCCTTCTCTTTATCATGTTTCGCATAAAAAAGAAATCATCAGATGAACAAGAGAGGAGAAAAAAGGGCGAGTCGCAACTGAAGGGCAACATACATAACGACGGTGTTAATAACGACAACAGACGATTTTCTTCTCCAATCTTTATATTTATGTATCTAGGTTTATTTGATTAAACACGAGTTACACTCTTTCATCTTTGTTAACTTTTCTTGACTAACTCTTGAAACGTGATCTCAATGCAGTTCAATATTGCATGTCGAGTATTACAAACAGTTACATACAATTAATCATTCTGATCAGCAGAATTATATTCATACATCAAACAATTGCTGTGAATCAGTGTGATTTTTCAAGTGCTCCATATCTTCAATCGGCTGCATATAGTCATTCGATTGTCTTACGTGTCCAACCAATTGATTTATTCGAACAAGATTACAAACGAAGTGATTCAATTATTCGAAAAGTTCTTGTGCGTGAAGTGATTAAGAGTCCACTAAATTCGTCGTCAGTTGAACAGCAAGTCAAAACGAATGACATGATAATCATTCGTATAAATGATAATGATGATGAATATCTTGATAATTCATGTTGGCATCTACTTCGAGTGGGCACTGTCGATGTTATTCTCTTTCTCAATGAGACGAAGAACAACGAATTCGATTTACACTATCCACCAGTTGAATCAACACTTCGCGTACGAGAAAATATTGATGCTGTTCTCAATCATGGTGAGTATCTATTCAATATGAAAGTCTTGTCATCTACTTTGAAAAGAAAGAAAAAGAGGCCGAAAGTATTCATAATAAAACTTTCTTCTTAACTATGTTGACTATTTTTCTTTTGCATTCTAAATTAATTTGATTAGTTCCTATGCAGGTGTTTGAGCAAATGTTCGTTTATTCCTTCTCACTTACATGTACATATAAAGAAAAAAAACTAGAACGGAAATTCCTGATGAGATTGATCGTCGATGCGTAAATACAGAGTGACTGCTTATATAAATGTCTTACTATTTCCGTTTTTAGTCAAGGGAAAAAACTAACAATTGACAAAGGTAATACGATCGGACTTTAATGACACATATAAGTAGCAATTAACAACTCGCCTAATTTATCAAACTATTGATTGAAATACTCATCTATGTACTCAATCAATCTATCATCGATATCAGTCGAATGATTGCAGGGAAAGGATAAATGTCCATAGATATATGTATGTATGTGCGTATGCTAGGACGGATATGTACACCCTAACTTCGAGGAATATAGATAGCGACAGTGCATCGTCTATCGAGAACGGGCGATGAGCTGCGTGTGTTTCTCTCTCGTCTTTTCATTCTTCCTTGACGAATCTTGCCTATTTGTTTGACATTGGCTATGTTGATTGTTTAGATGAAGTATATAACATGTTACTTTTCAGACTCGTTTGCTTTCCTACTAGGAGGCTATATAAAAGACATTGATTCTCACTATGGTTCGGCGTTTTCTTCCTTCGTATATGCTGTTCTAGGAATGTTGTTACTACCACTATGATTATTATTCATAATACTGCAGTTAGGACAGACAGATAGACAGTTATCGTCTGTTCTGACGTTTTCTTTTCTGTATTCTTCTTTGTGTGTATTTCTAGACCCATATTCACCGCAAGTTCTCATCAAAACTCGTCTCGACAGAGCAATACTATCAAAAGACTATTCTCTCCAGTGCAATTCACGAGGCAATCCTTTGCCTCAATTATTATGGAGTAAAAAAACGGATATCAACGAAACACTTGAATATTATCCATTATCTAAACAATGCCATCGCTCATGCCGAATTTATTCCATACAATACAAGTAAATTACGGTTGTTTATATTCTCGTAATTTCATCAGATTATTTCAATGTTTAGATATCAATCAACTCTCTTTTTTCAATCGTTAACACTTGATGATATTGGAACTTATGTGTGCCGTGAGAGCTTGTTTTTCACTTAGGTGTTGTCTTCTTATTGATCTTTGTTTTTAGACGCCGAAAATCCAATGAATCGAACGAGTACCAGTGTTTATTTGGATATTGATCGAGAATCTTCACGTAATCAATTGAATAAAAACTTGACATGTTCTAGTCTGCAAGATTGTCATAATCGCGGTCAATGTATAAGTATCAATAATCAATTGAAATGTTTGTATGTATAAGAATTCTTCTCTGTCATGAATTAATTTCTTATTTGATTAGATGCGACAGTCAATATTTTGGTGAACGATGTGAAACAAATTACGACGATGTAATAAAAAAACAAGATTGTGAGATCATTGACATGAAATTCATCGCATTTTCATTCGTTTCATTCTGTTTTCTTCTAGCTGCTATTCTCTTATTTAAATCTCGGTTTTTAGCTGGTTTTATCCTTGTTTTAATCGGATTTTGTTTATTATTAATTGTCTTAGTATCCTGGCTCTTGGCACGAAATAATAAACAACAACAACGAAACAGATTCAAAAAGAACCTCCCGGAGAAAACCTCTGCAGACAGGCCACTCCTACCGTCACCAACTACAACACCCGCCAAACAGCAAGAAACCATTATCGTGTCAAATGAAACTAATAGTATCATTCCAATATCATCGTTACCAGCCGAACAAACAAAGAAACTGTCTTCATTTCCTCAAGCAACCATTCGTCTAAGTCAATCACCAACGATTGTAAGCAAAATTATCTCATCACCTTCTCATCCTTCGCCTCCTATTCCAATACGACGAACAGTTCCTCAAGGAATCTTAACAAGAGAATCATCGATTGCAACTGATGAAGATGACGAAGACGGTTTGAATAGTTTCTTTCGTCAATATCAAACATTACCACCTGTACCAACAAAAATCGACGAAGAATACGAAGAACGCTTTTCGATGAGTATGAATACATCTGAAGAGCTCGGTTTAGGTTCATTAATGAATGGATATCACACGACCAATCGTGTGCTTTCGCCAGATCATGAAGAGTTTTATCGAACAGGTATAATCAAACCGTTAGATATGGGAAATGAGCCATCACAACGTTATACAAAATATGTGTCATCTTATAGTAAATTTGTTTTACCTCGACCAGTCAAATCGTCGTCATTATCCGAATATCAACAACGATAATGAGGTCTCGCGCGTTTTCCTCTCGTTTTCCTGATGTTGATGCTGTATATACATATTTTATTCATCTAGAACAAATCTGCTCTTCTATATGTCATGTTTTGTTTTTCTTATATTAGGAAACAGAACAATTATCGAAGGTTTCGAGTTGTCTGGTGCACAAATTTTGGAATTGATTTTTCTAAATAAAAGACATTCGTTTGCTTAAATCAAATCACTATAAACAAATAGATATATGTTCGCTTCTTTCAACAATCTCTGTCCATACAATGTCTAGAGTGAATGAGTTTACAAAGTTAGATGAAATAAAATACGAATCTTATTGAATTAATTTGCATCTAGAACGTTCAATTATGTTGACGATTCAATTGTGAAAAATTGTGCCTGGTTATTATTTAGTGCTTTCTTTATCGTCACCGACAAGTTGTAGTTTATTATCGGGTGATATTGTCTGTTGGTTTTAAGTTGTTTTTAGTCTGAACAGATTCTATTATCGATCCTTCGCGCGCACTCATACAAACTTCGGAAAGACAAACGACTAGAGTAAAGAACGGCTCGTTCAATAGCAAATACTTCTGTTTTCTTCTTATGTCCTCGAAAATTTTCTTCTTCTTGTTCTTCGTTTGTCTGATTTTTCCATTCCGGACGCTCACAAACTTGTTCGTTGTTATCGACAAAAGAAAAACGAGAGCCAACAGAAACATGAACGTCGTCTAATCTCTTATGAGATGTGACATGAGCTTGTTCTTATCGTCACTACGATCAGATTTTTCTTCTTCTGCTTCTTCTTCTTCTTCTTCTCCTCCTTTTTCGGCATTGTCATTTTTTAGCTATTTCCCCTCATGTATTTTTTATGCGTCCGTGTCAATAAATTTTAAACTAACAAAAAAGATGACCGTCACATGTACATTTTCATTGGATTGACTTATGTTCTATCATCGCTACACATTGCACTCGCCTTGATTAATATCATTGTTGGAATAATCTCACAAAGTCGAGAGTCTGTTTGGATGGCATATAGCATCTCACCTCTGTGGAGCGGCTTCTTTGTATGTTAACTAATGTTTGTCATTGTTTTCTTTCAATTATTTTCTTTCAGTTTGCTCTTTGCGGTGCAATCGGAATGATATGTGCACGTCAAAAAGGTCTCTACGTGGTAAATGAGAAAATTTCTTTGATGATGATTCGATTTGTATGGAAAAGTTTACATCTAATTTAGATTCTATGCTATGTAGCAACAAGTGTCGTCACACTTGTCGTCGATTGTGTTAATATTCAATTGCTACGATTAGGCCTAGTTAATATAATGACGGATGGACAAGCGTACATGAAAGAACAAAAAGATCGACTTTTATTCGTGGGATTAATTATTTCATTAATTGAATGTTTAACATGTTTATTAAGCATTTCGGTGGGCATACGCTTATCATTTGATGCTGCAAATAGCAAATTTCGCAAGAAAGAAGGCGCATTTTTTGTTCAAGTTCTATCGGAAAAAGATATTGTCGTTGTTTCTAAACCACCATCATCATCATCAAGACAATCGGGTTCAATTCGTGAATCTTTTCAATCATTCGCTCGATCATCGACATGACATATCTTTCCGCTTTTGCTTGTCTTCATTTTTTTTTCTCCTTTTTCTATACCAAACAAAGAAAAATATCTTATACTTGACTTGCTCTTTTATTCTTATACGCAAATCGATTGAAGAAAAGAAAGTCACGCGTATATCCGTTGGCAAGCTGCATGTTTATTTCGAATAAAACTTCTCGCGTTCTATCCGCGGGCGAACATCTATCTGATTTACAAACGACATTTTCGGATGAATGAAGTGTACTAGAGAATTTACGTTCCATGAAGTAAAAAGATCTCATTTGAATTGAATGCAGGTTCGTGCACTTTCGCAACGATTCTCGCGCCAGACTAATTAACTCTCACGACAAGAAATATTGATTAACTTTGCAAATGACATCAATTTATCTGATTATTAATTTCTCTTTTTCGTTGCAATCAATTCAAAAGCAATTACTTGTTCGAAAGAAACGTACTCGATGATAGGCAGACAAAAATATGTCAGTGTGATTAAGTGCGTTCGTGCCTTTCTTCTTCACCGAATATTGATGTAGACGTCTAGAGGTTTCAATCTGAAGACTTTTTATTTCTGAACAAGAAAAAAACTCATTTGTCTATAGATGTGAATGCGTTCGACTCTGTCTCTCTCGCTCTCCATTTCATAAATTGTTCTTGTAAACCAAGAACACGATTATCTAATTGATTATTTCTTATTCGCCATTTGCGTATAATCCTGAAAGAATACATAGAACGAATTTCGCTGATTTTTTTCTACTCAACGCGTATATTTACTTCGAGCTGATGAGCAACATGTTGATTGTGTTTCATTGTGTCAGGACGACGGCCACCACGTTTCGTTTTGGGTGCTAATTCCTAGAATATTGCAATGTATAGTTTTCTCTATATTGAGATTATTGATTGGAATTTACCATTGGTCGTGGCGCATTCTTTGTCAGGACGCGATGTCCTTGATTCTTAAGAAACTCTGCAATCATCTTGTCATCTAAGCCTTCAACTGAAATGCGCCTCCACGATTCAATAAACTCTGGAAGAAAGTCCATGATGAAACCGAGTTGAGCGACCTTTAGTTTTCCTAGATGTACTTACCTGGATTAACTTGGAGATCGTAGGCACGATCAGTGTAAAATAGAATTTCTCGTTTATTATTCGTGACTTTCACCACGTCTTTACTTTTAATTAGGCTCTAGAAATGAAAAAACCAAATTAATAATATTTTTTGTTTGATTGCGTGCCGTTTGTAATTACTTCAATGAACATATCCGCTCTGTTGGATGGAATGGTCTCTCGGACATCGTCAACCGTTACCGCTCCTTCACATTTTTCGTGTCGCGATTTGAGAAGATTAAGAAGAGAGGTCTTTTTCGGAGCTTTTAAATCGAGAGGAGGTTTATATACAAATTTATTCACATCATCGACTCGTTCAACATCTATTTTTGGATTGGTTAAAAGAGCCTAAAGAAGAAACTGGTCAACAATGTTGACTATCATGGGAATGCACTTACATCTGAAGCAAGCCAATGCTTGTCTGATGAATCGACCGTTACGCCAGCTTCTTCGACTATTTCTTCTAATGTTACAGATTCGGTTTGTCCACTTAAATAACGTTCCTATAGAGAGAAAAAAAATCGTTCATCATAATTTTTGAAGTTTCTCTATTTCAACGTATCTCCAAAATTCTTTTTCCAGTCATCTCTCTTGGTCTCAATGTTCTTCGCATGTTAATTTCCTATTCCTACTTACAGATGCATCCGTTGTATTAAAAACTACAGCAGTCCCTGATGAACGATGGATGCCATATGAAAGGAAACATATTTCGAAAACTAGAACGCACTTGCAAGGGAATGGAGTGACATATGGCGTTTATAGTAATATGCAAATCACATCTGATATCATGAAACGTTTCCACAAGGATAAATCCACTATTATCAATTAAGAGGCTTTTGATTAAGCATGAGTTTGAGTGAAAGAGACATATTCCAGGTAAATATGTGCGGGCATCGTTAGGATAAAGTTTCAAAATGAAGTGATCTATGCACTTGTTCGGAGAACTCTTGAACTTACTTGTAATTTGAGTACGATTTTCGTTAAAGTCAAATTTCTCAGTTTTGAACCAGATGATGATGACTGAAAATCGCTTGAGAAGTCTAAAAGATGATATGAATACGATTGAATCTTCCTAGAAATCGATAAAACGATCAATACTCACCTGAGGATGTTTTAGGTCGAGGAAGTGCTGATTTTGATCGGTTAGCTTTTTGTGTAGGTGGTTTGTCGGTTTTTTGCCGTTTTTCTGCTGATGCAAGAAATGCAGCTTCGTCTGCCTGTCGTTTAATAAACTTTTCTCGTTCTTTAAACAATGCTGCCGAGGACGACGACGCCATTCTAGTTACAAATATCAAAACAAAGATCTAAAAATCCACTGGATTTCAAATTAATGTATTCTTTTGGTATTTACTCAACTGAATGAAATAACAGAAAAGACCATTGATGAACGGTAAGTATATGTTGAAATAAAGTAACAACAAAAACAAAAAAAGGAACAAGGCGCTTCCGGTGAGTAGATGTTTCTACTTTCGAATATATCGAACATTGTCTAGAAACGATCGAGCATAAGAAATTTTCATGCGGTCCGGCCGATAACGTGTTAATCCGTTCGAAATGATACAAATGAAGAAGAATAAAAAGTGAAAAAAAGTTATTAATCTCTTTTTTCCTGTTTGTGTCAACAATCTCTTTGAAAGCAAACATTGAAAATGAAGCAGCGCAGCAGCCAAGGTGATAAAGAAGAAGAAGAAGAAAAAAAACTGTTTTGTACGAAGAGAAAGTCACCGGCAAATTTGTTTCGATGTTGTCGTTTTTTGGCTTGTATGTTGTATTTGTTTTCTTTCGGCCACCGGACGCAGACGACAACGAGAAAAACAACAACAAGTACAACAATAAAAGCGTCAAAATGAATGGATAGGACAAGCTAGAAATAAATGAGTGTACCAGACACTCCAAAGAAAAAACAAACGTAACTGAAAAGTGTGTACAAGAGAGAAAAAAATATTGATTCTATGTATATGTATAAATATTTTTTCCTTATAGAAATTTCCATTCAGTCAGTTCATATTACTATTCGGTATCTATTGAACTAGCCGAAGATGATTTCGTGGTTTGGATATCCGAAGAGTATTTTTGTTCCATTACTTCATCAATAACTAAAATAGATTTTTTGAAAAGAATAGTCTGACGAGAAAATAAAGATCAGGATTTGCTTACCATCATCACTTATTGCAGATTCTGTTACTTGACGACATAATGTATCGAATTCTGTACTATTATGTCTTTGTTTTAAATCAAACTCCGCGTCATCAGGTTTACCATCCTTTGACGATGATGTCGGTGTTGTTATTAAATGATTATTATTTTCATCATCTTCTGCAAGAAATGAAGAAGAAAGAAAGAAAGAATTAAATATTTCGATCAGCAGAGAAAGTATTCTTACTAAAATAAACAGATGCTTCCTTATCCGAGTAAGATTTTTGAATAGGCGACTGAGCGATTGAGTCGAGTTCAAAAAATGGTTTTGTATTATTTGATGCCGGTTGAGAGCGTGAGAGATATTGTCGGGATGAGTAAGGTGTCGATGTACTCTGATAGGTTTTGGATTGAGATACTATTTGTAAATGATTCGCTGATTGTTGAGTTGGAATTGGATGACAGAAACGAATTCGACTCGGATCACTGAATGTTTTACATAACTTATTCTTATCTTCGAAATGGCTTTCACCGTATGGATCAATGCTTGTTTTACGTGTCAATAATTGATGTTGATTAGCAGCTAAATAACCTCCATTGGTGCGTTGTGACGTCGAAGCTACGTAGTTAAATGATGGTCGAAGACTGCCACCACCGATGCCTGAACGTTCAGTAATATACGGTTGAGCTTGATGATAGGATGTTTGTTCTTGTAAGGAGTGACTTGAGACAATCGATAAATGACCATTTGGCGAAGATTGGGTCGCACCTGTCTCATCCGGTGAGTCATTGTTCGGTGTAAATATTAGTGTAGGAGATTTTGTTGGACGCCGAATGAAATTGATTTCATTCGAATTGGAATTACTTCCGTTTGAACTCGGTAAGTCGGAATTGTGCTGTCGTGATAAGGGTATCGATGTTGTTTGGTAATTTGGATAATACGGTGCAATACTTTTGATGTTACGTATGGCCGGTTTAACTAGTTGAGTCGAATTCATGTTGCCCATACTTGTTTGAGGTTTTAATTGCGGTCGTCGATTTGCTGACGATGATGAGGAGGATTGCATAGATTTATATTCAATTTTACCAGATGTTTGTAATTTATTACAGAGTGGACCACGCCAGTGTAATAATTTGTGACGTTGATCAGCAGAGAATGCTTCGTGCTTATAACAACGATCGAATAGACCAACTAAATTATTACACATATCAGATAAAAGGGTTGTGGATGATGTGTTCGATGTCAATTGTTGATAAACTAGAACAAAATTTCAAATTGACATAGAAACAGAAAACAACAACAACAACAACGTTAGGTCATTATCTTGTCATCAGTGATATAAACAAACATCTGAAAGTCTGCTATTTCTGAGTTGTATCCCAAGAGAGCCTATCCAGAAACATTTACGCACCTTTTTCGAGCACTTGCATAATTAGCTTCGGTAGATTTTCTTCGTTATCATTATTGTTTTGATCTGCTTGTGGAGCGCGTATCGGCGTTAACATTAGATCATTTAGGTGTTGTAGAACGGTTTTCATATCAATTTGTTCGTTATCGATATCAATAAGACATTGTTGCAATAAAACTTGTCTTTCTTTCAACTTTTTTATGTTCAATAAGATCTTTGTACAAGCACCATCAGTAATTTTGCCCTCTTTCAGTTGATCGATAGTCAAACCCATCATTTGATCATAAGTCGTTTGTGAAAAGAAGAATGCATACTTATGAAGCCGGAGATTTTTTAACCATTTTGGAACATCTTAATTGAGAAAACAAAGCTAAGAAGTATGTGAACAGATCTTCTCCTACCGCGCATGCCACTGTTTGGTTGAATGAATGTATTGCGTGTGGAACCAGAAACTCCGTCAACACCTAAATATTGTGATACACTTTCAGAATTATTTGCTGAATTGTTCATATGTGTTCGCGCTGGTCGATTGCGTAAAGAACAAAATTGACGTAAACGATTGTTATTGATATTGTTTTCTGTTGCATTTATATCTGAATAGAATTTGTCCGCGGATGTGAATAGATTTTGTGAGTATAAATGTGTTGAAGGCTCTTCTTCATCTTCGTCACTGATGGTTAGTGTGGGTCGACCTTGCTGATGTGAGAAAGTGGAGTTTTGATGTCGAAAATCTGAATAGTAGGAATGATGCGATGGTGCAGGCGCACTTAGAACGGCTGTGAGTGGTACGAACGATGGACGAACTGTATTCGTTTGTTCGGGTGTCGGTGATGATGACGATTTAATAACAAATTGATGGTTCGGTTGATTATCTCCTTCGTTATTCAATCCTAAATTCGCTGAATGCGAACGTCCAATCGATGAATGTTGAGACATTTGCGATGATAACAAATTTTGTACAGAATTTGTTAAACATGGTTCCGAGAGATCAACTCCACTATCACTTGCATCTTTACGAATCGGTTGTTGAGATACGTTCGTCTGATAAGAGCCTTCGGAAACAAAGTTTGTCAACAGCGACGCCGTTGTTGTTGGTGGTGGTGGTGGTGATATTTGTTGATAAGATCGAACAGATGGATAGCATTGTAGAGGTTGCTGCAGACGCGACGTTGCTAATATCTTTGAAAACGAAAAAAATTTGTTTTGAACATGTTTTGCGGTATTTTCTTTACTCTGTGAGTTAAGCGAGATAATGTATATTATGACTAGGGGCTTGTAACTGACGTCATAGATAAATGAGAAAAATAAAACATGAATATTTACATCCGTAGTTTTGTTTTGAAACCTTATGAAAGGAAATAAATGATAACCTTGAAATGTCACGCCTATTCCTATCATTATTCATCCTCTTCGCATTAAAAGGATTATTTTGACTGGAAAATTTTTATTGACATATCATACCTCATCTGTGTTTTCATTGCTATTTGGCTTTCCTGATGCTGCTAATGCGCTCAATTGTGGAATGTCAATTAAAAACTTTTGTAAACTTGGATGCTTTTGAATAAAAAATTTCATCTGTTGACAGTAATGTATGAGTTGTTGTTCTGTACACGAAAAATTCGATGGGTTAGCTAATTTTGAATCGAGATACACAAACACATCTCGATATGCTTCGAGTAATTTGTCATTAGCCGTTGTTGTTGACACTAATGGTAGATATAGAAGAAGAGTCGAAATGATTTTATCATCCGGATCAGATAAAAGACAGGCAAGAATAGCTAAACAAGAAGAAGAACTTTGTTCGTTAGTTTTATTTACTTTTCTCGATATTTACCAGGTGCATTCGCTTGGTGAACTGTATGATGAAACATGTCGTTGTTTTCGACCTGACTATTTATTTGACATAAAAATTGCGAAAGAAAATATCGATACGGCATCGAGAGTTTCTTCGTTAAATCCACTGAAGCATACATTTGCTCGAATGCTGTCCATTTATCGAACTGTTGTTGAACATGACTGAATTGCTCTTGGAATTTCTCCGAGAGATTGAACATATTACAATCTTCCGATGAAGTTTTGTCTCGGCTTTTAGTAAACATTAATGTATATACACACAAGTAACACACAACAACACTACAAAATGTGATTTTTGAGCAAAAACATCATCTGCAATATAAAGAGGAAAAAAAATATATATATATCATATTGGTCTGTTTTACCGTTTGATTTCATATCCAGCGTGCATTACCTTATTGTACTAACTACCAAGAGATAGTCTGATTTTATATACTGTTTCTTTTTCTACCCTACCACTCTCTAAAGACCTACTTTTCTTCTTTTTCTCTCTCTCTCTCTCTTTCTTCTCGCTTGATAGACTAATCGAGGCAGACATTCTGTCGTTCATAGAAGTAAATAGAGGGAAAAATGAGAAAAAATAGAGAAATCTATGCGCCAAAGACTGACTTTACATTGTTGACCAACAAAAGTCATGTCTAACGCACTCTTTTTCTCTCTCTTCCGTCTTCTTTTTCTTTTTCTGCTATAGATTTTTAGACAAACATATTGCGCACCATTAAAACAACGTTTGCACCAACGACAAAGTTTATCCCCTCCATGATTATTCACAATATTTTCCGTCTTGTTTTACTAAATATTCTAAGAACGACATGCATTTGTTTTTTTTCTACCTGCTCAGATTTCTCTTTACTCGGATTCTACCAAAATACATTTCTTTAGTTAATTTTATGACACATAAACGTGTATATGTTCACGAAACTTTTGCAAGTCAGATATATCACAGTTAGTAATAAGTCAAGAAAAACATTTTAGAACAAATATAGTCATGACATATTGTTGATTCACTCGATACCTATAGGAGAAAAGAATATTAGTGACATGCCGAGAAGTGAGAAGAGGTTCATGAAGAAACGCACAATATACGCACCTACGAACTCATTGTTGAAGAGTTAGGGAATATGCGCATAAGTAAAACAAGACTCATTCTGCAAAGAATATTAAATGATGAAAGAAGAAAAACGCAATTTATATAGAAGGAAGAAAAAAGAAATTTCCCTTTGGTTCACACATTGAAAAAGAAAGAAATTGACGATCATCGGATGATCATTGGCAAATTTTTTCGTCATATCGAAAATTACCGTTGATTCTTATAGAAAGTAGTGAACACGAAATTTTTCTTTCGATGAAAAAATGTTTTTCCATTGTGAAGGAAAAAAATTTCTCCATTGGATTGCTATCCTAGATGGCGGTCGTAGTTGGTACTCCGTCGATTATTTGCTGTTCGGTGAAAGGAATGTTCTACTGCGAAGAAAGCCATGCATGTCGTCCTAAATGAAGAGTTGCTTATGAAATATTAAATGAGTTAACAGAAAGCAGTGACATTTCCTTAATGTAAGATTCCTGACATGTTGTCAAGGAACGAGAAAGAACAGAGAAGAAGAAAATGCATTATTTTAATTTAATATCATACGTTAATCCTCGGCAAGATATGCGTCGTTGACTTGCCTGATAAACTCGACTCGAGTTTCTCATTCTCTCTTCGTTGCATGCCCTATGTTAAACAGGAAAACGAGATTATAAATATTTATCATGTCTACTAGAAAGTCATTTGCGCTAATCTTGACGAGAAAAATCAGGTTTTTGTCGAGAAAAATAAGAGGATCGAGTTTGAGATTGGTTATCATTCTCTTATCTTCTTTATTCCAATCCGGATAGTTAATCAAAGAATCTCATTTAGCCTGTCTTATGATGTGAATTGAATATAGCGAAGAATATTAGATTTATTTCTTGTTCAAGGAATTTATAGCGAAGGAAAAAAACGCATCTGACAGGAAGGAGTACACAGAAAAAAAAACAGCCCGTTCATGTTTTATAATTTTCTTGAAGAATCACATATGTCACCTTCATCATCATTAATATTTATTCCACTTGATAAACTAGCGTTAGATGTACTAACTTGACGGGTTTGTTTTTCTTCATCATAAAATTCCAGTGATTGAGGACCTGGAAAGATTAGTTGACATATGAATGTGTCGAGAATGAATTCAATGAAAATCTCCTACATACCGAAATAGCTCAATAATATGGGTAGAAATAGTAAACCGTGCATTGCTCCGACAATAACTAGAGCGAAGTACATTCGGAAATAGAACACTTGAAACAATTGCGACTTGGCAAAAGCGAGAACTACGACACCACCGATTTTAGTTAGTGTTATACCACTAAACACCTAGGAGCGGAAAAGAAAGATCCTTTTTTTTCAATATGCACTCGAATGTGAATGGCAAGCTTACCGAACTACCCATCTCAGCTAATGCTATTCGAGCACGGATCAATCGAGTCTCACCCGGTTGAACAGCAAAATAACGTGCAATGTGAGCACAGAATTCAACTGCAATACCCACCGACTGCAAAGAAGAACAATGAGTTCGGATGACAACGTTTCATAAAATCTTACCATGACAATATTTACAACAGATACTGCGTTTAATTCAATATGCCACAGGTACATAACGCCAAACATGTCGATGATAATCATGAATACACAAAGAAGAATTAGAAATGCTGTATGAAAGTCGAAACCAAGTAAAATACATGTAACGAGAAATACAGCCGTAAACGAATAAATCAAATTCACAATAAGATCACGCCATATAGTCAAATATTGATCATAGAAAACATAGAATACACTGAAAAAAACGACAAATGACTAAATTGTATTTTGAGTTCAGTTAATTATGAATTGTACGGCACGTGATGTTATTTGATCGTTAGATAATGAACTAAGGTGCCTCGTCCTCAATCGATACATAAGTCATTTGTAAACAGAAACCTTGGTTAGAAGAGATGAAATTAAAGGAAGCGATGTTAGATTAAAAAACCGATTGTGCCTGGTTCTTTAGTTATCATGAAATCATGAAGTTTGATGACAAAAACGGTTCTATGCTAAATTGACTACTTATTGTACTGTAATGAGAAGAAGAGTAATCAGATACTTTGCTCTCGTACTTGTGAATATTATAAGCATGTTTCATTAAGAAAATGAATTGACTAGTAATGTCGAAATGTCCTTGAAAACATATCTTCTCAAAGATCTACTACTTATAAATCTGTTTTCCTCCCGAATAGGTTCTCACTGCGTAGGCAATGCACTAGAAGTATTTTATTTTCAGTTTTTTCTTCACAGATCGAAGGTAATGCACATCGTCTTCGATCTTGATTATTTCAAGCGGAAACTCACACAACTCATTTATGCTTCAGCTATCTCATGTGTCGCAATTACATATTCATGACGTTTGATGGATATCGGTTCAATTAGATGTCATAGTGAGGTTGCCTGAAACATAATTACCTGTAGGGAAAGACGGGGTAATCTTCGAGCTTGTTCGAATCGTGGTATGGTCGAGTTTGATTGTTTAGAATAGTTTTAGAAATGTTTTTCGCTATCTCATTTGCACTTTTCATTGCACCGATGAAGTCCTTGGATGTTTTCAATACTGAATGAAAACCCATAAAGTAGGATGTTTTCACTTCAGTTCGGTTAATTAATTCAACAGCATCGTGATAAGCAGCATGACCACCCTTAGGACATTTCTCTCCGGGATTGTCGATGAGAAAATATTGAATATATCTTTGAAAATCGTCTGGCGATGGTCGTTGATTGTCTTGGAATGTTATTGGACATTTCAAACATAATGTATCGTTTACCGTTGCTGGACAAAATTCGTGCGTTCGATTGTTTATTCGACAACAGGGTGGATCATTCGTTGATTGTAACCAGTCGAAATAATCGTCAAGCCATGACGAAGGTGATTGAGCAAGATAATAAAGTTTCGGTTGTCTCAATGCTTCACCGATTTGTCCAAGTAAAGACATTGAAGAACAACCCGATGTGCCACAAAGTAAATCTTGTTCACTTATGTTTTTATAATCAATTGCATCTTGATTAACCACAAAATACACTGGCGCACCAACGCTGAGATAGTTTTCTAGTCCATAGAAGTAATCTAATACATAGGAATCTTTTGGCATTGATAGTTTTTGATCAAGACCGATAGGTATTCGGTGAATGATTGATAGCGACAAACATGTAATTGCGATAAAGATTGAAAATATAAGTGCACGAACGTAAGTGTTACCAAGAACGAATGGTGTCCAAACTTTAGCAAAGATTTGCTGTAGAATTCCTTTACTTCTTGGTTCATTTGGATTATCTGTTGGTAAAGTTAAAGACACTGGTACACAACAACAAAGATCAGATCGATTCGAATCTTGTCGTCGAGCATCAAGTGCAAGTACTGACACGAAGCACGTGATTTGAAGTAGAAAATCAATCAATACAGCCATAAATGCGTATAACGAAAAGATTTGTACAGCGGGCATTGGTGTCAATGCACCGAGAAGAAAAGCAATCGATTCACTTGACGCTGTCAGTAAGATTGATGGACCAATACGACTGATTGTTGTGGCTAAACGTATGTCAATCGATGGATAATTTTCATTTTTCATATGTTCGAAATGTTGAACAATAATGAAAATATTATCCACACCAACAGCCAAGACCAGAAATGGGATAACTTCGAAGATAATTAATGTACCAGCAATACCACAATAGGAGAAAAATCCAATCGAACTCATTACAGATAACAAAACAAAAAGAACACCGATGAATCCCACAGAGATTTTCAAATCGATTAAACATGTACGCCATGATCGAATATGACCAAGTGTTAAGGTAACATAGAGAAACATGATTGTATAAGAGATAGCAATCGTTAAAATATCTGATTGACTTTGTCGATTCAATTCATCTTCGATTGAACGTTCAGCACTGTAATACACAGTGAAATTTGCTGTTTGGTTCCATTCTCCAGCAGCACGTAGAGATTTTTGTTCTTCTGTGAAGTTCTTCATAAAACTAAGGAAAACCTTTTCCCAAGCTTCGGCTAAAATACATACACATAAGGAAAACTTTCAGATTACAACGAGATGCAAACAAACCTAATTGAACTTTTTCCGGATCATTAGAATTCTCAATGACAATAGTAATTACTAATGCTGTTGCATTGACGTAAGCTGCGTCAGAATAATTACCCAGAACCATAAACGGATTTATTGTTCCACCAAAATCTCCGAAACATGAAAGACCCAGCGAATCATTAGTTGTTGTTGGTGCTTGTGAACAACTGATAAAATGAGTTGTATAGTCGAACAATGTAAAAAAATCATCGCCAATACGTTTATAGAGATTTTCACGCGAATTTTGAAAATATTGTAAGATCGAGAAAACTGTGCAGTTCTCATTGTCAGGCTCTAAAGGCTTGAAGCAGATGTCCGATAAGCTGACCGTTCGGTTTTTCTCATCGACATCAGCTGTTAATGATAACACTTCCGTTTGAAGATCAAGTACACGTGAAAGAAAATCCAGTTTGAATACAGGACCAAATGTGTACTCAGCGTAAGGTGCAGGCGGGGAGAGATAATCAAATGTTTCAAACGTTTGGTCATCTGGTACAATGATCAATTGTGTTGTTCGGTAGAAAGGTCTAGAAGACAGAGGAGATTTTCGATGAAAATTCAAAGAAAATGAATGTTACTTGAAGTGTTTATCGAAATAATCTTTTTGTTGACGAGCAATACTCGATTTAGCTGACCATAATTGAACGGGATCGGTAGTCACTTGAAATTTGATTAAACCACTGGAGAGACCAGCGATGACAATAGTACCAGTGAGCAAAACAATGAACGGATGTTGAGCACATACAAGGCCAAGTCTAAAGATGTTGAAGAATAGTTTGAGATGATTCGTTTGACGTTTCTCCTACCGAAAGAACATTCGTTCCAGATATTGCTCTGTACGACGACGAATACTAATAAGACAACCTCTTTTTTTCGTTTGAACAGTTACACGTAACAGCGAAGTTTCTTCTATAATTAGAACACGATACGTTGAAATCTAATGACAAAATGAATTTGATTTACCTGTAGGTTGTTCGATGATAATTGTTTGACGCTTTCGAAATGTAGGCAAAATAACCATAGTTCCATGAAATACAATTAAAAGCAGTACAGTACATATTACAGCAATGACAACCCAGCCATCCATATTAAATATAAGAAACTTTTTCTCGGGCACATCCGGTGGCAACGGTCGGCACGATTTCAAACAGTCCTAACATCATACATTTATTTCATTATCAAACACCCGGAAACTCTTTTATGCTTGCACAAGACTTACTAGGCAACCACAGGCAGTTTTATTTTCATATTGTGTTATTAGTGGTTCATTACACAGAAACGTTGTCTGGTTAAAATAGGTTTCACTTTGTGTTGTATCATTTTGAAATAGAATATAAATAGGAAATGGCACAGCAGGATTGTCAACACATAAATATTGCATAAACGATTCTTTTGTACATTTATCGTACGGACGACCACACATGGTATCGAGTGAGTGTTGATTTCCGCCGGGATATAGGACATCTCTATAAAATATGTAAAGTTACATATTGATTGAGAAAAGAAAGTCGTCACAGGTTACTGACCGACACGAATCAAGAATACGCTGAGCAAAATCGTCAGCAACTGTGTAATTAATCGATTCAACAGTAATACGTCCCGGATATTTTTCACTAGTGCCCGTTTCAATAACACTTAGATAATTACTTTGATTAGCAGCACACGTCATAGCACAGAATAACGAACGAAAATTGTAGTAACAAGATGGACAACGGCCTAACATCAATTTTGCCATACCAAATTGGTCCGCCATCGTCGCTATTTGTTCCGATGAACAACAAGTGTAGGTATCATTTGATCCTAAATAAAGTAGAGGATATTTTTCCTCAACAGTAAATGTCAACGGATGTTTAGCATGCTAGATTTCTTTGACAGATACCTATTATTGATGTCTATCCTATTTGTCATTTACTTGTTAAGCTAGACAACTTTTACTTACCATTATAGATCATTCCACAAGCTGTTTCTAATGTTTGTAAAGCGGTTTCGTCTGTCAATAATTTTGCAGTACCATTGTATTCACAGTTTGTGAGCTTGCCTTTAGAATTTCTGCCACATTGGTCATACCAAATGCAATGGCCATCCTTAACCTAAAATGAAACCAGTTTTTCTATGAGAATATTTACAAAGAAATTCAGTTCATACCTCAGCAACAATGTGACACAAAAAGAAACAAAAGATAAATATAGAGAATTTTAACATTATGAATATGATCTAGAAATTATGAAAGTAATAGTCTAATATTATTGTATTTATTACACAAAACTATGACCCCTTTTTCGTTTCTCGAAGACAAGTACTGACCAATAGAAAATATCTCGCCATATTTATTTAATTAAGAACGAAAAGATAAACATTCACACATACACACCTGTCTTCACGACAACTCTTTTTCTAATTTCAAAGGAAAACGTTATATCATTCGTTCTTAGCCACCTTCGAAACGCACTATGCCAAAAAGATAAAGAGTAATCTCTTTTATCGAAATGTCTGATTTCGAGTCAACCAAAGGTTGTCCTGCAGAGGTTCTCGATAAAAAAAAAGATCAAAATACGCGATGTTCTCGAAAAGAAAAAAGTCCATCCTACGACTAAACTCCACGCAAACAACGCACTTTGTAACATTCAAACTCCAACATACTTTAGATGACTCATGCATTCGCAAAGAAAACATTTGTACGTGCTTTATTTTGTTTCGCAGCGAATGGTTATGAAACATTCGAGCACATGCAATGTGTTCTTTCGATCAGCTCATACATACGCAATAGGTGAGTCATTCTGCTTAGAAGGAAGAAAAACGGCAGCAACAGCAATCGATTTACTTTCTTTTGTTTTATTACAGACATATATAAATATATGAGAGAAAAAAAAGAGAGTACCTGTCTGCCTGAGCAGTTGCTTCTGATATCAGATGATCGTTATAGTAATGAGATATGTATGAACAGACAGACAGTATTGCAAGAGAAAGTGAAGAAAAAATGTCGAGAAAAGTATATGTGCTTGAAAGAAAAGTGAAATGAGAGAAAACGAGATGGACATGTTTTCTTCGCTACGGACCAAGCCGTGATATATAAAATCAAAAACGTAAAAGAAAAACCGTACATTTTCCTTTCTATGATGAAGTCAATGATGTACGCTGTTCATTATTAACATAACCGTTTGAAGTTACATCGCTTGTCAATGAAGTAGATGATTGTCGTTCATAATGATACATAATTTTCGTTTTGTGACTACCGCTAATAAAATCAAATGGATTGCTCGTATGATGACTTGTCGAATGACGCCATTGCAAAACGTAGTTTCCTGATTGTTGACAAATATAAGTCTGTTGCACCGAATCACCATCATGATAAACGATTGGTTGAGTCAAACGGACAATATCATCAGTCGTCGATTCAACTAGTGGTTTATCGTAGATTGTACTTGCCGGTATCGTTGAACTCGATTTTTGAGCGGGAGACGGTGAGTGTATATGATCATCGTTTTCTTCTTGTTCCGATGATTTCAGTTTTCCAATTCGATAAATCGTAAAAGTACATTCAGATTTTAACAAATCAAAATCGTACCAAAGCCGATCACCTCTCTGCATCGTTGGAATAGCGACCTATTCCGAAGAGAAGACAGATCAATACCTTGTATAATTCACACAAGACAAACCTCATGTGCACCGCCTTCTTTTATCGAAACAACTGTATATGAATTGTCGCCAAATAATGAACTTTCTGCATCGAATTTATCAGGTTCATCTTCACGAGTGTAACAAGAACGTGGAACTATACCACCTGATGAAGCTTGAAACTAAATAAACGAAGAAAACAAATCAAACAAAGGTGTAAGTAAAATACGTCGTTATAAGTTATTATTTACACAAGAAAGTATGTCATGTTTTCGAAAGAGCTATTCAGTTCAGATGGGCGAGTGTCAACAAGAATTATGCGTACTATATTGGGTTCTTAACTAGATAGACTTTGTAATAGCGGTCATTATGCTTCGTTATTTCGGATGCAATTTGTTTTTGTTTCTCTCGAGGACAATTACGACCTTTCTTTATTTCTACTCGTTAACGTAGTTGTTCTAGTTTCAAAGCGATTTTTGATATACATACAGGCATTTGACCGCCGAGGAAGTCCGGAATGTTAATTTCATCGATGTATTCGATTAACTCATCAGTTTTTAATATAGCAAATTTTTCACGCGTACGCTCTTCGACGAATGTATTGATGATTGTCCATAGGACTGGGATAAGACGTGGACAACGGGTTAGAAACATTCTAAATCGATATCGATTATAAAATTCACATTAAGTTAGACTTAACATACCTTCCAAGCGTTTCCGGATAATTGGCTTCGACTGTATCGCTTATTTGTGAAATAACTCGAAAGACCGGTCGATAGAGATGCTTAACACTGAAGTTTTCAAAATCAAGAATTACACAAACCGTACTAAAATCAAAAAGAACACATTCTTTAATAATCATCCACCGAATTCATTTTCTCATTACTTTATCGGTTTACCGAATACTTTCGTATTTTCTTCACATTTTCTCAAACCTTGCTCGACCAGAAACACAACCTAGAAGAATTCCGAAATATTCCATTAGTTCGTGACAAGATCATTTTACATACATGTCTTATCCATGTATCATCACCATGTACAGCCTTCATCAATCCGCGAACATCAATCTCTCCGATTCGAACAATGTATATCGGTCGACCATCACGATCATTTCCGCCCCAAGCACCGGGAAAAAAGCGTTGAATCATTTCTGGCGTGTCATAATCGATCAATAAACGATCGATACAATTTTTCTTACGCCTAAACAGAACATTTCATCATATTCGAATACGAAAACACAAGACAAAAGCAGTTAAATGTCATTTGATGATATATCGCTCATGTCCATCTGGATCGTTTTTCTCTTCAGACAAATTTGTTTACAGTCTTTTCCTTTGGACGGCGATGCTTTCTGACGAATACAGACACGTCTCAAAGACAATCTCAAGGCAAAAAGGATGGTTCTTATTATGATTAACTACTTAATAGGATGTTCCATATGGTGTATCGATATTTTCTTTCACCATTAAATGTATTAGGCATTGTGAAAGAGCATGCAATATTGCCTATTGATAATAATTAAGTGAACTAGAAAAAGAGATTTTGTGAATAGTCCTATTTCGAAAAGCGAGCTTGTTCAGATAAGATTCTTAACCCGTCGAGGTATTTAATCTCACATCAGACATGCAATACAGACGAAGAATTATTCAATGAGGTTGTTATTTCCGAACGAGAATCCGTGCTAAAGTTAAGAAAACAGACATGCAATATTCTTCCATAAGGGCATAGATTAATGAGTTTTTTTTGTTTTATAAAAAAAACAACTCTTCCGATGAGATATGCTCGATCGAATTGCCATATATGTGTAGACATAAAGATCTATTATCGCTGATGATGATTTGATCGAAAATATCGAATTAAATTGTCATTTCGAAAAGCAATATCGCTACTCGGAATGCATAATAATAAACAAAAATGCACATATTCACGTGAAGTATTCCTGAGTATTTGTTTAGAAATGTTGTGTCCTCCGGAAACGTTAATTAGTTATGAAGGATGGAGCTTAACTTACCACGCTAAGGAATGGCAAATACTTTCTCTTGCTTTTTCGATATCGAAACGTCGAGCACGAAGAAAACGAAGTAAATGTGAATTATTAGGCAACTAAAAACCAAAAGTAATGATGAAAACTTCATGTCAATTCGTAGCAAAGTCATTTACTTTTCCTTTATGCGTTTCGGCGACCCATTTACGAAGTTGTACAAGACAACTCTCTTCAAATGGATCTAATTGTCCAATATAACGCCGTATATATTCATCGTCGATGTTTCCTACAAGTATAAACCAACAATCGAATGAAAACAAGAAGCCTATGGATTAGGGGAACATGTACGTCGTTTTTCTTGAGAACTTTCAGCAGCTTCAAGTGTTTCAAGGTCATCTGATAAAGCCGAAGAATTCGCTGCTGCAGTTGGAGTCACTCCTGACGCTTTGGGCGGCGATGACGGGGTAAAAATATTTGATGTGTCTTGCGACGACAATCTTCGACGTGCAGCAATCAATGACGGATCATCACTGACGGATATTGTTGCTCCAGTTGCTCCTGCTGCTGCTGATGTTGTTGCTGATTCTGAATCGGGACTTTTCAACAATGCTGAAGCTGGTTCGACCCAAATTGGTACACTTGTTATTCCTTCATTCGCTAATTCATTGATATAATATTCGATAATTTCTTTTCCTTTCGAAAGATTAGCTGAATATTGTTTCATCGCTATTTTTTCCACAGTCGATTCGAAACCAAAGAACGACTTGATGTCAAGAAAAGCACTCTGCTCGAAACATGTCCATAAATCATTATCAGGATGAACCTAAACGGAAACAATTTCAAAGAATATTTTTTCGAAAGACAAATCCGAATTCGTCGTACATAATATTGACAAAATTCTTTAATATCCAAACGCGATGAGAAACTCTCATTGCATGCATCGATGCGTAAGGTGCGTTGCCGGCGATCGAGGTGATTTTTTTGCAAAAATATTACATGTTCAACATTGACAATCTAAAAGACGAAGAAAAATAATTTTCTCTTTCACTAATTCTTCTTTGCTCTCCGTGAATTATTTCATCTATTTTTAGTATTTAATTCTACGATAGTTACTCAGATAAATGAGAAAATGTCCGCTTTTCAAATTTGACAACTGTAATTAAGGAGTTCTTCTCTTATCTTTCTTTAAACACACTATTGTTAGTTAACAATAACACTTCTTTACCAGCGATTAGGGGATAAACAGTAAAAACATTATTTACCCGTTTGAGTAGATACGGTGCATCGATATTCAGTCGACAACGTCGCTCCACGATATCCACTGCTCCATCTTCACTGTGATATTCAGAAGTTATATCAGAACCAAGGAAAACAGGTATCATCGGACACGTTGGAAAACGTTTTTCATACGCTGCCATGACGAGTTCAAATGGATAACGATAAACACGCACGGGTGATTGATATTTTTGCACCATTGTTCGTCGTTTCTTTTGTGAATGAAATATGAAGGAAGAAAAGATGAATCTATGGAACTATAACATAACGCAGAGAGGAAAAAGAAATCTAAAAAAAAAAGGAAAGACAGAAAGAAAAAGTCTTTTTCTCCCCTTCGTCCTGGACTTCAGCATACATGCTGTTGATGACAAAAATGACAACATATCATTCTTGTAAGAAAAGGAAAGAACCTTGATTTTAATTGATTAGAAACGAGAGAGAAAAGTTTAATGTGTTACAGAAATGCATTCACACACGGGATGCTTTCAAACAAGCATATGGCAGAAAACTACTTACTTTTAATGTAAATATTAGAAGTCTTCTTAAAATATTAGACTTGCCTATCCATGTATATATTTACATGAAACTTTCCCTTTCTTTTCTTTTTTCTCACGAGCTCTTTTGCGACGATTTCTCTCTCTCTCTCACTAGTGCTAAAAATGCATCTGACGCTCACCTTATCTTTGAAAAGATCAAAGCTTAAGAATGGGTGCGTGTAGTATAGTATATTTTTACGTGAAAGTCCTTGTATTCTACTCTATAAGTATGATATTAATAATGATCCACAGTACGCGAAAAAAAACGGTAGTAAATGACGGGAGAATGGGCGACTAATTTCCTTCTCCTTCCTCTTCACTTCACCAAAAAAATCGACCGTCGACACAAAGCATACAGCCTAAGATAGATGCATGCTTTTTTCTTGTCGCAAACACTCAATCAAGTAAAAAGAAAAAGCAATAACAGCGAAAACTACTAAATGATAGTGAAAAGAATAAGTGTATATTTATATATGTGCCCGCACATATACAGTAGTCGAAAAAAAACAAGAAAAAAAAAGAAAGTTATGATGATAGATACAGGTGACAGAAGACGTGGGTAGATGCAGAATCGTATCTGGTCGTTACGTATGGTTGTTTATTAATAAAATGGGACAGATTAACACGCGATACGTTCTTATTTTCTGAGGGGTTACTATATCGTGCGTTTCTAATTAAAATTGTCTGATAAAAGAAACACATTGAAATCTGATCTATGGAAATAGTGCGACAGAAGAAAATGACAGATATCCACGAGATAAATTCTACCTGTTTTCCTTGTATTCTATGCGAATATAGCGATTACACATGAAAAGTGGTACATTGCGTATCGCTTGTAATTAATTCAATTCAATAATAGGAGATCGAATAAGTGAGCAAGTAACGAAAACAAAATCTAAATGAAGATTTTTATCAATTGACACAACAGAAAAATATTCGTATATATGATTAACAATTGAATGAAAAAATCCATTTACATCAAACACAAATACTACGATACACATAACTTTGTTAAAAAAAGAATTTGATGTACTGTTCAACTTATACACAGAGATGTATAAGAAGTTTCTCTTTTGTTTGCTCTTGTGCGAAACAGAAGAGAAAAAGAAGACTATAAACAGACTCATACAATGAGATTTCTTTCGTTTCTTCCTTGAATTTGCTTGTTTCTATGTACAAGGCTAGTAGAAGATGAGAAAAAAAGATATTCATGACACATCAGGTTCATCATTAGGATTGCTTTCATTTGGTCCTGATTCTGAATCTGTACTATCCCAATCGGACATACCATTGGAATATAAAGCAAATGAACGACGATTCGTTGATGCAGATCTTTCCGTCCGACGACTTCCATTCATTTTCGTTATTTTTTCATTCATTGAATTATTTGGTTTCAATTCATCTTGATCAATCAGCTTATCCGATGGGCCGATAATCAGTGATGAATTGCTGTTCGATTCGATTAATTTCAAATCGACATGAGGTAATTTCTCCGATAGAGGACAACTTGGATCCGGTTGAACGGTCGACGATGAAAAGGAAGATGACGATGGTAGATAATCGAATAGAACAGATACCTAGAAGAAACAAAAAGAAACTTATCAATGTGCTTCTCCCGAGTGTATGCTCGAAAATTCTTATTTAAACATGGAGTATTATGTTCTACTCTTCTGGGAAATCATTTGAACATACTATTTGATCATCAGTTGTTTTCTCGGTATCACATATGATGTCAAATGTGTCTTGTAATAGAAGAATCCCCGATGTGGACTCTTCAATTAGTTCGAAATAATGAAACTGACTAGGAAATCTTCGTTTCAAATAAATTCACTTACGGAAAATGATGGCGGTGCTAAACGATGTAATTTATCTTTATGTAGACCATCAATATCTTTCTTGATCATTGTATATAAATGTGTGTGACCATAATTTGGTATTAAACATGATTTAAGTATTCCCAGATTACTTTCCGGTTGTTTGTCGCTATTGTCGCTTAGAATTGTTCGTAGTTTCGAGTCGACAAGGAAGAAAGTATTGAACCAAAAGTGACATAATTTTTCCTAAGAAAAACAAATCTTATCAATATGGAAGGAAAGACGAACTTTCCTTATCTTACAGGTTTTCCTCGTCGTGTTTTGGTTAGATAAATTTCAATTAGGACATCTTCTTCTAATAAAATTCGACATTCAGAATTCGATGGAGGTATAAAATGTTTGTGTGTGGCTTCCAACACAGAATAATCTGCTGGTAAATCTCGACGTATGGTCAAATCGCGTTCAAGGGATACTTCGAACGACTTGTATTGAATACGACGATCAGGTGATACTAATCGTACTGTATAGGAAAGACCTAAAGTTCAACGAGAACAATTACGACAGCTGCGATGAGAAAATTCTCGACGAACTTGTATGATTCATTTGATTGAGATCATATGTTATTAGCAAACCGGTGAAGAGGATTTGTTTCGGCGTGTAAGTCACTTGACTATTTAATAAATGGCCAAAGTATTCAACATAACGACGTTGACTAGGTATAGTAACACCCTGTAATGAAGAAGAGAATGAATATTTTGAAATTTGAAATACAGCATCTCGACTTTTACTTTTTCATTCGATGTTCTTTGTTGAGCGTAAAATCTTAACGTTTGCAATGGATCATTATACTCTTGTTGGTAATAATACAATAGAAAACAACACGTCATCACGCCCGTTCGACCCTAGAAATTGGAGAATATTGACTTTTATTATGAAATATTCAAGAAAAACATCTCGAGGCTAAATTTTTTCAAAACACTAGACAAACACGGCTTTTGTTTCGTCTAAATTTACACATAAATTCTTAATGTATCGAATTATAGATCAAAAAAGTCAAACAGAAAAAGCAGTAAGGTTTTCGCCTCGCACTCTCGATTCTCAATAAGCGAATGAAAGAAAACATACCTTGCCCGCTTTGCAATGTATGACAATCGTTCGATCAGCCATGTCTTTTAATTGCGCTGAAACATGCTGACAAAAAGCTAGTATCATTTTAATCGTTGGAGGATTGTGATCTTCGAAACTGAAATCTGAACAAACATGATTATGGAATCGTGCACCATCGTATTGTCGTTCGCTTTCCACACATCTAAAACCATCCGTAGTGTTCTTCTTGTTTAATCCGCTGAACTTTCACTTACAAATTATAAATATAATATTTATCTCCATGTTTTGATGATAAAAATCTGTTGCACGAAAGAAAGAATGAAGTCTTGATTTCTTTCCGAACAAGAAGATACTCACCGACTAACATCAGCAATATTATTTCTATAGACACCTTCATAATTATCAGCTGGATAACCCATTGCAATCATATTGGGACGAATATCTATGTCGAAAATAGAAGAGATGTAGTTTACTTTTCATCGATCTTCATTTCTTACAGGCTAAATCGAGATCGAATCCGTCTTGTTGATAACGTCGTTTTTTTTTACTAACGATTTTTCTCATGCGTTTCATTGGATTCGTGATCATCTAAATAAATGGAAAAAAAGAATCCAAAAGGTCATGTTGACATGCGTAGGCTAGTACTGTTTGCTTCTTTGCACTATTCAATAATAGTATAGACAGAAAAACTATCGCTAGAAAGAAACTATTGCCATTGTTTAGATATTTATCCGAAGAAAAAGCAGCAAATGTGAAGAATTATATAAGGTTTTTTTTCTTTTCTCAATGTCACGATGTTCTTTCGATGACTCTTTCTCTACGCTGATGAGAGATTTATCGGGTATAAAAAGTAAACGGAAAATGCATTTAGGTCAATGAAACTAATAAAAACTATTTCGTATTGATTTGAGTGAACGAATTTTGATAAGAGAAAAAACAAATAAATGTTCGAGAAAAAGTAACAATAGACACCAGCATAGCATTTATCTAATCAAATGATTCATTGATAACGATGTCAACGACCTCTTTCAATTCTTTTATCATTGGATGAACACTTTAGCAATAGCAAATCAAACACTTGCCTGACTAACTAACTGATTTTACATATTTTTCTTGAACTGCAAATGAAAAGAATTTGAAAAAAAAGAAAACAACATGGCAACTATCATTTGACTCATTCAAATGTAGAACGATGGGTAGACTCATAGTTTCTTTGGAATACTTTTAATTACTTAAAATCAATCAACATTAGACTTCTTTTCCGTCACGAAGCATGATTCGTGACATCATCTGGCTCTTCATATGAATGAAAAGAACATAGACACACAATGTTTATCATGGCAAAGAATATCATCAAGTACAACAGGAACATAATGAACAAATTCATCATTATTGCTAAGATCTGCTCCGATTGATGGACGACTTATAACTAATTTATTGCGCATGGCATATATTTCTATTCGACAATTGAAAATAATGTTGAAAAAATAACACATGTTTTTGCTCTGTGTACCAGGAAGAATAAGAACATGTTATTTTGGATTGATATACTGAAGCTTAATCCGAATTGTTGTTTTTCTTTCTAGATGAATAGAGATTTCTTGAAGAAAACTAACTAATGGTCTATGTCGATACGAATTTTAATAAAACGTCATTGTTGGTCTTCAATCATCATGGTTTCACGATACCTTTCATCCGTCTACAGGTCTCTAGGTCAAATGTGTTCCAAAAAAAAGTACCATCTATTGGCAAACTCAGCGTTAATTAATAACAAAAAATGTCACCTATCGACTATCCTTCAAGAAATCTCAATAACATTCGGTTTATCCTTATTTGCATTTTATCTCTTCTATCAATTATTTGGAAACATTATATTGATTCTTGTTCTCGTATTTGGAATACTATGTAAGTAGGTTTTGTTCTTTTCTAATTAGTGAATACAATGAACAAGTTTAGCTTCACTATACGGTTTACAAGATATGTTACTTTATCAACCGGATGAGCCAGATACCGCACGAACAATTGTACAAACACCCGAGTTATTTCATATGGAATATGAAACGATAATTATTGAAACAGCTGATAATGAAAAATTGCATGGATATTTACTAACACAAATGAGACAAAGTGAAGAATGTGCAACATTGGTTTTCTTTCATGGAAATGCAGGAAATATAGGACATAGGTATGAACTAATCAAGTGCTTCTTGAAGAAAAATGAAACTTTGATTATATTAATAACAATTAGGTTACAAAACGCTCATTTACTCTATCGGACATGTAACATTAACATTCTTCTATTTGATTATCGTGGTTACGGCAAATCAACTGGTGTTCCGTCAGAAACAGGTCTTTATACAGATGCACAAGCTGTATATGATTTCGTTCGATCACGAAATGATTTAAATCAAGGGAGAATTATTTTATTTGGACGTTCATTAGGTGGCGCCGTTGCCTTGCATCTCGGTAATTATCTTAAAACGCATATATGACCATATTCATTTGTTTTCTATGCATTCAAAGCTGCACATCTTGCTGAAAATGAAGCAACACCTCCATTACATTGTGTAATTGTTGAAAATACATTTACGTCAATACCCGACATGGCCAAACGATTGTTTCAGTTCTTCATACTTGATTATATACCCACTTGTTACTACAAGAATTTAGTAAGATATTTGGAAACGAAAATCGATTAACATGTGTTTTGAACAAAATTTAGTTCTCCTCAATTAGCAAAATTCGCCACATTAAAATACCTATACTTTTCCTCTCCGGTGAACAAGACGAACTAGTGCCACCACAGATGATGCGCAAATTACATGACGTTCGTCGATTCTAAACTAGTTTGAAACCATTAGATCTTGAATTTTTAGGAATGCCAAAGTGCAAAAAAGCAACTGATTTTATTTTCCGACGGCCAACATAATACAACTTGGCTTACACGGAATTATTCAACGCAGATACAAAAGTTTCTTACAGAAGTATGTTGACATACCCATCGAAATCAATTATCGCTTGTTTTCTTTTCTTCCAGTGTTCAACATTACCTTCCGAAGGAATATCAGTGTAAAGCAGCTTTAACAGCCGATGAAACCTTCCCAATCAGTTGTCTTGAAATTTTTTGTTGAATTAGTGATATCTTGTTCTATTTATTTCGATTTGACTTCGGCAAAGAAATTCAATCTTAGAAAAAAATATTTGAAAAGTTTTTTTTACACGAGCATTTCTTTCTTTCTTTCTTCTTGATGCATATCAATCTTTTCAATAAACAATAATCAACTGGATCAAATGAATGATAGACATAAAAACTCCGTCTAATTAACTGTCGACTTCATTCATACAGTTATTTATCACAAAGAATCGGATGTATTTCTTTCTCTTTTCTCATCAAATCATGGCAGCTATCATTGAATGTTGACATATCAAAGGTGAATTTGATGTGTTAATTGATACATAGAAATCACATACAAGATTTTTCTCTTTTTCTTACTGATGCGAAGACATTTGATGTAGGAAAACATGCCAATCTATCCGATTTCTTTTCTTCGATGTGCGTGTTACAACAGGATGATAAAACAAATTTCATCTTCGTGTCTAAACAGTTCTCGATTATCTTCAGGAGATTTTCTTTCTCATTGTATTCTGGATTGATGTCGAAATGAAATTGTAGTCTTCTGTTCCGGTCAATGAGTTGAGTAGATTAACATGCAAGAGATTTTCTTTCGGATGAAAATTTCTTTTGATCATCTCGCTTGTTTAGAATAACAAGCAAAGAATTCGCCTGTCTAGAATGGAAAAGTTAATCAATCTGTTTTGATTTGATATGTTTAGAGGTGTTTATCTTAGCAAGTTTACCTCGAATAACCAATCAGTCAAGTAGATCGAGGATGGCCTAGATTATTTCAGATTTCGACATCTTTGATAATGTTATTGTCAATTCTCATGACGTTGACGACACTTTTTTCTCTTATAAGACCGGCATTGATTTCCAAACAATGTTTCTCCTTTCATTTCTCTCGAATTCATCATGATGAACGATGTATCTCGTAGGTCTGTCCGTTATTTATTTATTTTACTATTCTACAGTAATTTAATCACTTCAACAACATCATTCATTCTCTACCCACCATTGAATCGTCTCATTGAACAGTTAACATACAATTCAACGTTACCACAATGTACGTTTTCAACATGTTACCGAACAGCAACTCAAGCAGACTTTTCAACAACTGATCTTACCCATGATCAATTGTTAAAACTATCGACATATGACAAACTCCCTCATGATCGTAAACCGTACCTCATCTCTTCAACGGGAATCTATTATGGTCAACGTATTCGTTATCGAAAACGAGTTGTAGATCAATTTCTTGGCATTTACTATGCTGAACCGCCCAGACCACTGGAAAAACCCGTTAAAAGACGCTTTGATTATGTATTACACGATGCAACTAAATTCAGTGCGTGCTGTATGCAATCGAAAATGATGGCAGAGAATCTTTCGTATGGTTCATTTCTAATGCAGCAAAATTTTAGTGATGATTGTCTTTCTTTGAATATCTATCGAGCTGATCTACGCCATGGAGAAAAACGTAAGGCAATCATGTTGTTTTCTCACGGAGGTTCAAATCAGTTAGGTAAGAGAACGTTTAGGAACAAGACTATCGATCGATATTCTAATTGTAGGTGGCGGATCATTGTTCGATGGAAGTATACTGGCCAGTGAAGGTGATATCATTGTTATAACAATGAATTTTCGCCTAAATTATCATGGGTTTTTGTCTAGTGGTGATAATCGAGTTAAAGGTAAAGATTCTAAGAATATGTTCCCTGTAGGATTGTCTGAGAAGGGATTAGAATTAATGATATTCGTATACCGTAGAATTACACAGGATGACCTCAAAGAGATCTATCTGAACTTGAATTTTGTGATAGATCTGCTGAAAATACATCGGATTGGTTTGGTTACATTCGATAAAATATGTAATCAAAAGCGATAGACTTAGATTGAGAATTAATTCGCATGTTCTTGTCTTCATCCATGAGCTGTCCACCCATCTCGTACTAGTAGTACATCAGTTATCTGTTTACTTTTCCGTCTTTGATCTTGTTAGTATATTGTCACTCGTAGAGTTTTATATTTATTATGGTTAATAACATATCAATCAAAAACTATGACGGAATGTGTGCATGTTTGTTTTTGATTTATTTTCGGAAAAAAGGCAACTATGGTCTATGGGACCAACTATTGGCTGTCGAATGGATTTATGAAAATGCACATTTATTCGGCGGTGATCCGAAACGAATAACTCTGGCTGGACATTCAGCAGGTGCTGGAAATGTCATGTTAATACCCGGTTAGATTTCTCAATCCATATAATACTCGCGTTGCAAAATACTCATCGCTCGTTTAACTTTTAGCCAGTCGACATTGTCGTGGAATGGTCCGTCGTGTTATATCTCAATCAGGTACTGGTTTAGCTCCATGGAGTATCAACCACAATCCATTGAAATTACTCGAACGCTTCTCGCGAGAGTTTAATTGTACAGATTCTGACGGGAAGGAAATGTTTGATTGTATTCATAAATTATTAGACGAAGGTACAACAGATATTTATCGTCTTCATTTAAGTTTAAGTATCGGTAAGTACGGAAAATGTCCTTGTTGAAGTGTATTCATCTTTTCATTTAGCCGATGATAATCCATATCCTGTTATTGATAACGATTTCATCAACGATACTATTGAAAATATTCTGCGAAGTGATCTTTATGAAAATGTCGATTTTCTGACAGGTGTAACATTGAACGAAGGATTGTATTTTGCTGAATATCATATTAAACATTTGTACAGTGGCCTTCAAGCTCAATCTTCATCAATGGGTAAGACTCCACTTCGTGAACGACGAGCAGTTCTCGATAGAAATTCAACGGCAATCATTGCGCCTGATATAACGTATTCAACTCATCTTGACAACGAACGAAGAAAAAACGAAATGATCAGATTACAGCAAACAACTAGCACGGAACCACCATCTGTACCCGAACTCAATACAATTCTAGAACGTTTTACTAATTTGAATTATGTTGAACGATATATTGAAGCAAATTTTCAACATGAACAATGCTTTCGAGCAGATGTGAAACAGAGATATGAATTAGCAGGTAGATACATCAAGAAGAAGTTTGATACATTTGCCTTTTCGTACATTTGCTTAGCTCGAGGTGATATCATTGAACAACTAAAACTCTACATTGACCTCGTTTCGGACTTAATGTTTAATTTTCACATGGTGCGATGTTTATATGTACGTGAACAAGTGAAAAATAAGACATCAACCGATTATGCATATATTTACTCCCATCGGCCAACGCTTAAAGTTCGAAGTACATTTCGTGATCAATTGAAAATATTACCGCAAGCTGTTGGACATTTTGCAGAATTAGGTAAGACTAAACGAATCGATTTCATTGGCTAGTGCGTCATTCGGGAGATAGGATGTGTATATTGATGTCATAACGGGAGGACAGGATAGAGTCGATATGACAAAGAATTAAAGATAAATGCCTCGGTACATTGCTTGAAATGATTTGACCTTTTGCAAATACTGTCATCGATAGTGAATGCGAAATGGAAAAAAAAACAATCGTCGCAATAGAGTATTTCATTGTTTGAGAAGAATGTAAACAGTATCTTGTTACTAATTCAAAATTTTTGACAAAAAAAGATTATGTCTTCGGTGTTCCATTGGCACGGAATTATTCTACGATACATCAAAATGTGAATATGAGTTATTATAATTATTCGACGGACGAAATCAATTTCAGTCGACAAGTTATTCACTATTGGTCAAATTTCATCAAAACTGGGTTTGTATTCAAACTATCCTGAACGATCTCAGTATCTTTTGATTCATTTTTCTCTCTTTGTCTTATCTAGAAATCCAAATAAGAATCCATCTTCTAATATTAAACCACATGTTGAGTGGAAATCGTACACGAAATCCGAACATAATTACTTATATTTTCATTTGAACAACATTCATAATCGACCAAAATATTTTGACTCGATGTATGACTTCTGGATGAAATGCTTTCAAATTGAACAGTCAGGTGGATGCAATAAAGCAAAAATCGGTAAATATTTAACTGCGCTTTTACATTTACTCGCCATTATACTTATTCTAATTGGAATCGGTTCTATTTGGAAATACTTTCAATTGAAAAAAAGTGGACAATTAATAGCTCATGAATCACCATCTATTTTGATTCCCCACCCTAATCGTGTATCAGCATAACATATTACACTCTTTTAGCTTTTGGTTTCTTTTTTTCTATTCATGTTGAATAATAATATTAATAATAATAATAATAATAATAATAGCAATCAGTATGTAGACTTGATCACCGTTTTTTCTCTGAAATATTCATTTGCGCTGATTTTCAACCAGTTAATTATATCTGTAAGAAAGGTGAGTGGATGAAACAGACGTTTAAGAATCGATGTAAAAGATAAAAACAAACAATATGAAATACTTTACATTAGAAATTCGTTTTTCATAATAGTTGCTTATTTAACATTTCATCATGTTTACAATCTCATACATAGACAACTTCGGGTGCATGTGCGTATCGTTGATGAGGCTCATTGACATAGATGACATCAGGTTGGTACGATCCTGGGTACTGATTATCTTCAACATAAATGACATCAGGTTGGTATGAACTTGGATGAGTATTGTCAACGTAAACAACATTTGAATGATCGACGTATTGTTCTTGGGGTTCTCCAAGGTAGTATAGCTCCGGATGTGGTTGATCTTGGACGTAAACTACTTCGGGTTGTCGTACTCGTCGATGGTCAGTTTCGGTAACGTAGACAACCTCTGGTTCAGGAGCACGTTGTTTTCCTGTTTCTTTTACGACTATGATCTGTGGCTCAGGTGTTGGACGTTTCTCGGTTTCTTTGACAACAATTACTTGATGCTCGGGCGTGGGACGCTTTTCTTTCTCCTTTACAACGATGACTTGAGGTTCAGGTGTTGGACGCTTTTCTTTCTCCTTCACTACGATAACTTGGGGCTCTGGAGTTGGTCGTTTGTCTCTTTTATCAATATAAATTACTTTTGGCTCGCGCGAACGTCGTTCTTTGCGGTCATCATCATAAGCATATTTCACATAACGTGGTGTTGAATCTTTTTCATCGATAATCTTAACTTCATTGCCGTCTTCATCGATGTACACGTAGCCTTCATTATGTGGTGCGGGCTGCTCTTCGTCAAGATAAATTACTTCGGTGCGAGGTGAACGACGTGTATCAAGAGTTGATGACGATTTTTTCATACGGATATATCCTGCCGGTGGTGTGCGTTTTCGTATCATTGTTGATCGACGTGGTGAGGCAGGTTTAAGATAGTAGACATCATCATCTTCTCGCTCTTGTTGTGGAGATTTACGTAGGATGCGTACCGTTCGTTGAGGTCTTTCAACAATCGTTTCCTACATGAAAAGATTTCTTAGTTGAAATAATACAAACCATCTTATCAGCTTAATCACAACGAACTGATAAACATCAAAAACTGGTACCTCTATTCTTATCACAAAAGAATGGTGTGACTTACTGTTTGACGATCGGTGTTCTTATAACCAGTATCTTCTGTTTTTCGTTGTACTACATAATCATGTTTGCCAATCCGAACACGTTGTGACGTATCTATGGTGTTTTTGGGTGGAGTGGGAGATTTCAATTGATAAAGAGAAGGTCTTTTGGGCGGGTAACGAGGACTATCTTGTCGTTTCGGAACATAAACAGGTTGTGGACCAGGATCTTCTCGATATGTCGTTGAAGCCACATATTTCGGTTTTGTCTGAGGAATGGTTATAGTTCGTATCGTTGTAACACGTTTCTTTTCCGGAGGTATTGAAGTAGTCCGAGCAGGAACTTGTATCGCGGGTAATCGCTGAGTACTCTGCCGGACATTATCACCCTTCTTTATTTTATATCTTGCTTCATTTGCTTTTTTAACCAGTAAAAACGTGTCCGAACGTAGTGATGGTCGTTTAACAATATTGTCTCGTGTTGAAGTTGAAGGATTTCGAGTTGTTTTTATCGTTGTTGTTGTTGTCGTCTTCGGATCTGCCCGTTTTTCTGGTCTAAACTGTACATAATAATTTTGAGACATGTGTACCTGTTTCTTTTTCTTTGTAAATAATCCTTTCAAAAGACAAAATTGCCTAACGGATTTATTTCTATGTCTTTTTTTCTCGGTACTCAAAAATGACGTTTCAATCTTCTCTGTTTCAAAGTAAACGGAGAAAAACAATCGAGTCAAACAGAAGACTTACTTTGGGAGCGCGAGCTATCAGTTGTGTTTTAGCAACTGGTGGTATGGTGCGTCTTGTTTTCGTCGTGGGATAATTATACGGATAATATCCAAAACCACTGGATACCGGCATCGATAGAATCTACAAATATGCCATTATATACATCACGTTCACTTCTACAGAGATTAGGAATGAAAGAAGTTAAATATTTTGTTTTGCTTTTTTCTTTTCTTTTGAGAATTCGATTGTTTGCATACAGTCACGATGAATCAGAAATAAAACAGTTTATTTGATCGAGAAAACATTTCATTGAAGAAGAAACAATAGATGTTATATATCAATCGATTTCATATCAATCAATGGTCAACTTAGTCGAGGAGACAACGAACTCATTCAATATCCGTGAAATTCTTATTCTCATATTTCGGTATCCATTATCACACAACAGAGTATTAATTGATCATCTATCTTATATTCCAGAAAAAGTTTATCTTTCTGACTCATTAATCTTTTGTAACAAGAAAAATATCATCTCGAAAGACTCCTTTTCCTTTTCCTTTTCTCAAGAATTTCTCTGTTATTTCATTACAATGACCAAACGGTGAGAGTTCGCTCTTCTTTCGGCATGTTTATCATGAAATGGTACTCGTTTTTGTTTAGCTAATTATGCTGATGGGCAACTGTTGGTGTAATCGAACACATTTGGTTCGTGTCGTTTTGCATTCATTCATGGCAGCGAAGCACTTTGAAAAAAAAGCGTTTTTACTACTTTGTAAAAGAAACAAATGTTGAATAGATCGTATTTGTTTGTTGATTTTTCGTGCGAGAAATGAGTGCGTGAGAAAAGAAGCATATCTATTCAATCATTCGGTTTTATTTTGTTGTTAAAACAGATGACGACAAAAAAAAATAAGAATGAGATATGAAATAAAGGTATATGATTGATGATGAGGGTTAAAAGAAGAAAAAGAAAAAGAGAAAGTGAGAGTGAGAAAAGGCTAAGCACGAATTTTATTTGCTTTTTTGTTGTTATGAAGAAAGTGATTAAACAAAACACAAAGGTCTTTTTCTTTTAAACTAATTTCATTTGATTTATTCGTCTTCTTTGCCACGTTTGATCTGTCGTGTAAACGCAGCGTAGTCTAAGTTTCCTTTTGGATCAACTGGAGCACCTTCGAGCATTTGATTGAACTGAAATCAAGGTACAAATAGGCAATGTCAACGCGTCGACGTTTCTCCTTACCTCCATATCAGATAATCCTTTGAAAGAGAAATAAATAGAATAAGAAATAGATTCGAACAGAAAAAGAATCACTTACGATCATCCGGACGTCCTTCGGCTGTAAGAACTTCACGTAAACTAGAAAGATGAGAAGGAAAAGAATACATATGGATTGTTTTTTGTTAATCAAAAGAGCAATTAACCTTTTTGTGTTGATAAATCCAGTTGCCTCAGGATCGAAATTTTTCCATGCATTTAAGATAACATTTTCTTCATCGGTACCATTTAATCGATCACCAAATAATGTTAATAGCATGGTAAAATTAATTGGACCTTGAGCTTCTTCAAGCATAGCTTTTAATTCAGAATCTTTTGGTGCTTTACCTAAAATCAGACGGAAGATCTTTCAAAAACAACCATTTTTTCTTCGATGTGATTATTACCAAGTGAAGCAAAAACTTCTTTGAGGTCATCCAAACTGATTGTACCGTCACGATCTTGATCCATAAGACCGAATGCCTAGAAGAAAAGATAAGATCTTGTTTTGCAGACAACGATCAGTCGAGTTTCGAATTCAAACCTCTTTAAATTCTTGTACTTGTTTTTGATCGAACATAGAAAAGACATTGCTGGTGGCACGTTGAGCCTTCTTCTTGGCTTTTTTCTAATCAAGCAAAACACGAAATTGTCTTTTTGTTTCATATGAACAATCAAAAAACAGAAACAATTCGATCATGTTTCGTCGTAAAGGTCACATGGTGAATGGTAGTAGGAAGGAGTGTGAGGCATAGAACATGGTATGATTCAAGAATCAAAATGATTTCACATGCTTGGGAAAATGACAACTAAGACATCGAGAAGATAATTAAGGTGCGAAAGGAAGAATATGGTATATGTGTGGAAAGACAAGGGATGTGAATATTACAACGTTAGATAAAACTTACGTCGCTCTAGAAAAACAATTAAGAAGAATTTTAGATGAAGAACGTATTTGTAGTTTAAGATGTATGATGAGAAAAAAGTTTGAAGGAATTAACACTCACATCGGCCATTTTGGAGTTTGGAAAAGTCTACGAGAAGAATTCTGATTTGATGTTGGATATGGTACCACAAGCAACTTCTTGATGAAGATTACAAGCAAAGAAACACTCAGTTTCTATCTTTTCTCTCTCTCTCTCTCCCTGTCTGCCGTTTTTTTTTCTTATTTCTTGATGCTGTTGTTGTTGTTATTGTGGAAGAAATTGCCTATTTTGGGTGCTGTGTTACACCAAATGTAAGAGAAGAAGAGAGAAAAAATGGATAACCGCTGTGGATATTAACGGAGTTCTTTTCTTTTCTTCTGCAGGAGATATGTTAACGTATATCTAACTTCGAACATATATACATTTTCTCGGACGGAAAACGCGGATGCATCTCGACCCTAAATCGATCTCATCTTTCCTCTAACCGCGCATATATTAATAGAGAAAGAGACCTAATATGGTGGTAGCAAAAAAGATGTGGTTGTGTACTCTTTCTCATGATGATATTATTCTAGACACAGGCATTGCTTGCTATATTATTGGTCTTAAATATAGTAGACAAAAGAAGGATAAAAAGCGAATGAATGATGCATCTCAGAACAGATAGCATAGCTGTTAGCATCATGCAATAACATCAGCGAAGTTTTTTTTTCTTCTCGTGTCACATTTGCCGGTTTTTTATTTGTCGCTACAATTCCAATCAAGCATATATTCAAGGCTAATAATACATATTGCTAGTCTGACATCGGAACAAGAAAAACGCGAGTCAATATCTTCAGTAGCGTTCTATTATTCTTCAAATGAGATAATACTGTTGTGTACAGTAATTGCAACTTATACCAATTTCTTTTTTTTTTCAACAAAAATAGCAAAAACAAAACAAGCAATTATCTGACGAAAGAAAAAAAATATTGATTTCTATAGATCGTTCGACGAAGTCTGTTTCAATTGTGTACGAAGATTAGTTAAAAGATCAGTGAATGTTGAAACTTCATTAGGATTTGCTTTGATATAAACGTCGTTTAGTTTCTCCAACGTTGGAAGTAAAGACAAAAAATTCGTTCGACACACATCTGTGAAAGATATCATTGCTGTTAGTAACCTTTCGATCTGGTCAAAATTGTGCATATCGTTTGAAGTCAAACGATGCGATACCTTTGTACACCAATCATACTTCATCAACCGATCACGAATATCGATACTAAAATAAAAGAGGAATTCGTAAAGATAAGGACGAGCTCAAATGGGAATTTTCCAATGATTTCGCGATAGAACTTGATTTATTGATGTCTATTATGAAGAGTCCATACTAACCTAGAAACTCTTCTTATGTTTAGGAATGACATCAATCACGTTCTTATGCAACAATTTCCTCAAGTAAGAATTGCTCTTCTGATAACCTTTGATTTTCTGTAATATCACGCATTACAGAAATACTTTTCCCGTTGTGATCGACTTTGCCTCGGACTCATTATACGATGATTTCTACTTGAGTATTAATTAACTTACCTATCATAAACATTCCTTTTTTCATTTGTCTCTTGATCCTAAACAATTGAGAACTTCAATGTAATTGATTGAAACATTTTTCTTTGATTTACCTTTTCCACTATTAAATCGTTCATTAATTCAATTGCTCTGAGTTGTATCTTATTGTTGGATCCTGTTTGATCAATAAGTGTAACGATTGTTTCAATTCCACCGTGTTCGAGAAAACTTTTCTGTGCTTGTGGAAAATTTCTCAATAGAGTTGATAGAGTAAACATAAGCCGGAATCGGATATTATCATCGACTTCAGTGTTCAATAAACGTAGTAAATGTGGAACAAAGCCAATGTTTAATGCTTTCAATTGAACTTTGGGATTTCTAGAAAATCTTCTATGAACATTTCCATTGTATAAGACAAATCTCGCTCACCCTTGGAAAGCGGCACCTAGTGTCAAACAAGTTAAATGACGTACATCATTATTGACATTCGTTGAATTTAATAATTGAAGCAATAATTCCAGTCCGTGCATATCGGAAAATAAAATGGCGTTATCATACTAAACGAAACGATATCATTCCGAACATTCTCGATTGAATAGAATCACGTCGACATACTTGATGAAGATAAAATTCTAAATCAGTTAAAATTGTTTTCCGGTTTTCGTTATTATCCGTTGCGTTCAATTGTTTTAGAAGATCAGTGAGAAGTTCGTGATCAGTTTGAACTTTCATATTCATTTGTTCGAAATCTTTTTTTAGTTCATCATATGGACGATATTTTGTTTTGACTTCTTCTTCATGTTTCTAAACAAAACAAACATATGAAGATGATTATAATAAATCATGATTAACATACTTCATCAGTGGTCACATCGTCTTTGCTTAAATCAAGATTAGCAAATGCTCGTTCGAGATTTTCTCTACTAATACGTTCTTGCTGTTGAGTGTCATCATTCGACACAGGTACGAGATCGTTTGTAGATTCTTTTTGCTTTTCGTCCTTGTCGAGTAGTTTCGCTTCTCGAAGGCCTGTTTGTAAATTTAACCGAACATGCAGACCGGATGGAATTGCTTGACCTAAAAAACAGAGATGAATCTATGGATTTATTGAGCGTATGATTAAAATACCTTCTTTCACGATTTGCCATTCGTTCGTAGGAATAAATTCGTCTTGATTTTGAACGAAGTTCTCTATAAAAATGATCTTTCTTTCAAAGAAAAGTCTGGATATCACCTTACCGTTGGACTGTTCTGTTCGTATTGGAACAGATGAGAGTGATCCACATGTTAATGAAAGAATAACAATGAATATATACGTAGTAGGAAATGAATGAACCAACATATTTGTTTTACGCAGTAAATTTAACTTTGTGAATAAGTAAGAGTGAACAAATTCGAATTCTCTTTCTATTTTATATGTACCAATTGAATGACAATGTTGAAACGACAGCAAATCCACAGATATATGAAGAAATCAGACGTGGCAAACGAACTGTTGGCTTCATTCATTCACATACGGACTTTTCATGACTCATAAATGCTGTGACGCGTACCAATCGATATTCATTTGCATTGACGATAGAGTGCGTTAGAGATCAACACTGAAAAATAAGTTATGAGCAGAACGTGGATGTCTCATCTTGAGAATATACACAGATAATAGAATCGTCTGATTGTGATATTTTACGCTTGTCTTTGAAGATTAAGTTCTAAACAAGCACTAAATATAAATGTACCTAACGCCCATTGTTCAATTATGATGTGAACTGACTCATTATCTCATACAAAAGTAACCGTGCATATTGATAGGAGGAGAACAAAACATTTTCCTACATCACATATGAGTACTTTGTCAAAATGACGAAGTCTGAAGTTCTTTCTTAATAGAGTACTAGTAAAATTGATCTTTTGCAAAAGAACAAGGAATACCAGACTAGAACCATAGAAGTCTTTTCCTCTTTGTTAAGGCATACATTTCCCATTCCTTATGATATTCTTTGATTTGAAAGTTAATAATAAACTCCCTCCCAGAATAGTAGGCCCTCCTGGAATAAAACGGACTCCCTATATAGTATGCCCCTCAAAGACGAAAATTTAGGGAAAAACCCTATAGGAAGGGATAGAGGGATTTTTGCACAAAAAATATGCGATATGCGCGACCATATTCGACGGTGCTGAGCCTTTTATTGCGGAGGATTAATCAATGCTAGATGAATTTTGTGCGAGATACGTCGATACACAATCTTCATATCAGAAACCATGAAAACTACAATGATATTGTTCGGAAAAGGCAACGCTTTTCTGGCAATAATAATGTTTGTTTATCTTGTAGTTCATGGGTGGGTTTTAATGAAAGTTGATTAAATGTGAGAATTAATATTAAATATAGTCTCCTGCGGGAAAAATCACGCTAATAATTATCAAAGGTTCCTACAAATACTTGAGGCATACCAAAAGTAGCGACAATAGCACTTTTTATTCCATATTAGTCTTCTAGATATTGCTTTTTTTATACAGTCGGATAGAGAAAAAAACTCTCTTTCTAGGCTATTTGATTGTACTTCAACGAATATCATGATATTAAATTATCTATAGAACTTATTTTGATATTCTTTGCTTTTTTCTTTTTTTTATGAAAAGAACTGTTTTTTTCAGCAGCAAGAAAATTGGATAAAAACCTGTAAGAAGTCACATTGAAGAAACTCATAATATACGATTCCATGCATCTTCATATGCTCCTTTCAACAGTGAAAACTGCAGCTCTCTATGGCCTTCCGATAAAAAAATACTTATCAATATTCATACAGTCAGCACATAAGCAACCGAAATGAGTTTCATAGGTAATTCAATATCATGATATTAGTTGAAGTACGATCAAATAGCATGGAAAGATAGTGTTTTTTTTCTCTGTCTGACTGTATAAAAAGCTATCTTTAGAAGACTACTATGGAATAAAGAAGTACCACTACCACTATTTTTGGTATGCTCTAAGTATTTCAAATTTCCATGGTGTAACCACGAACCGCCTGAAAATATTGGCTCATTAGGTAGAAGTCATCCATACATATGATTCCTGTTATGTTATTCAATATTAAATGAAAATTGCCTAGTGCTAGCGGTTCTTCGCAAAATTTTAAGGCTAAAAGTCAAATAAACGTTTTTATATTATTTAAATATTTATTCAAGGCTTTTGAATTAAAACTTCATAGTAAAATGCACATTATATGAATAAGTATTTATTTCCAGGTCATCTTGTATGTCTATTTAATTGAAAATATAAAAAGAAGAAGACACGACAATACAGAAGAGAGAAAAAAAACGATCAATATAATACAATCCATAAACGTTCACAAAAAAAAACCGATGACCAAATTCCATAAATGACCAATCATTTCATCCTGCAAGAGAAAAACGTAACGTATAGAAAAGAATGTGATTGTTTTTCTGCATAATACATATCACCAAATGATCAACACCTTTCCGATCAAAACAAATCTCTCATGAGTTGAATAACAACATCACATATTTTCAAACTAGCGTCTCATTTCAACAAGCAACTTTGTCCCTCGGGAGAGATGTTCAAACATATCCTACCTTTCTTCTTTATGGTAAAATTGGGGAATACCATATATGTGGCGCTCCACCATACGGTGACATTGATTGCATGTTTTTCATATGATCGAGATCTAAATGAAAAGGTTATCGTTGATTAGCTGGGGCATGATTATGAATGTGTGTTTATACCTGATGAGAGATTAGATGGGATACCTGTTGAGTAATTTGGACAAGAACGATTATAAGGTGTGCTAAATGGACTTAGTCCGTCATAACCACGTGTTGAATCTATTAGAAAAGACGAAGAGGAAAAAAATTGAGTTATGTGTCAATTATTTTCTGTATAACGCGAAAAGATTTCTTCGGGGTATAGACATTTCTATTAGAATACAATTGAATTAGCTTGATGAGATAACTTACTGGGAAAAAATGTTGGATATCCTGATGAACTGCATGCAACGGCTGCTGCCATTTGTCCAGTAAAACCTGAACTAAATGCTCCATATTGATGATGATGGTGGTGGTGAAGATGTTGATCATTGTTGGTTGGAAGTACGGGAGGATAGAGTGAAACGGATGAGGATGATGGTTGCGTTTGTTGAGAAGATGGAAGAGGCGGTGTCGAACCTGATGGACGTAGGTTTTCTCCCATCTCATTCATCAATTGTTGATGTTGACGTCGACCTTTGACTTTATCTTCTCGACGATATTTAGCGCGCCGATTAGAGAACCAGACCTAATTTCATTTCATTAAAATTTCTTTCGATATTCATGCACTTGCTTACTTGAATTCTCGCTTCAGGTAAATTGATCTTTTGTGCAAGTTTTTCACGCGCATAAACATCCGGATAATGTGTCCCATTAAAAGCTAAAAATGACATCTTTGTATAGAAAAAAGAAAAACTCCATTCGAACAATACCTTGCTCTAAAGCATCGATTTGTTCTTGAGTAAATGATGTTCGATTCCGTTGCAGCTTGCGTTTTAATTTCAATCGTTCTTGAGCATCCGCATCGTTCTCAGTTAGACTATCTCGTATTGCTGATTTGCTATCGTTACTTGCATCAGATAAATCTAAAGACAAAGAAACAAATCTTTTTCTTTTCTTCTTGTCATTTACATTTCAATGGAGAAAAACAATGTTAATCAACGATGTGGAAAAATACGGATTAGAAAAGATTGAACATCTGTAAAATAGTGACAAGTTTTTTTCCTTTACATTTTCTACCAATCAGATGCATGGAATAATTTGCTCGACTCGATAAGAGGAAAATCACTTGCTTGTTTTTTTTCTTAATGAAAAAAGCGACTCGATATCTTCAGGGCACGAACAGTTTATTTTAATCAACCGATCATGATATCTACAGGTGGTCTATTTACTAAATATAGTCTTGCTTGAAATCAAACAATCGCCGAATCGACTTCAATTGAAGTTGATGCGGGAGAATTCGAATGGAAATAAGTGTCCGAATGTTATGAAAGAGAAGAGAGCTTGACAAGAATTTTGATCATTTTACCTCCTAGATCTTGATGGTGACCATGATTGCCATCGCTTGCTTGATGCTTATACTCTGAATTCGAATCGCCACTTGTCGAATAGGTACCTGACGATGGTTGTGCGCCAGGATGATGAACATAAAACGACGACGATGATGATGAAGGCCATGGTTGGCTATGTAAAGCACGTAGTTTACTATCCACAGAATAGTAGGTTTCATGATTAGTCATTGAATCTAAGGATTTCGAACCAAGATTTCTCAGTACTCGATTGATGGATGAAACCTAGAATAGAGAAGCAACGTGAAAATCTTGATAGAAACACATCTGCGCGTCTTTTTTTTCTTCTTTTTGGTACATACACTTGGAATATTTTCCGAATTGCAAACATTTTCAGCTAAGAGACGATCACGAATTTCCCAAGCAAATATCGATGGTGTTTCGCGTTTGTATTGTGCAATTTTTTGAACAACATCATTAGTTGCCACGCGAGGTTTCGAACCACCAATTGCACGTGGTTTAATTGAACCTGTTTCATAGTATCGCGCTAAGATCTTCGATACGCAACCATTGGACACTTGCAAACATCGACTAATATCACAAGGACGCATGCCATTGTGAGCTAGTTCAACTATACGTGATCGCGTACTATCCGGTAATGGTCGACCATTAACAAACAGACCTCCGAGTTGATTAACTCCTGAATGTCCTAGAAGAATATACACATAAATATACCGGATTCTCATTGCATATTCATGATTAGTATTAATAAAAAAAGGAACAGTAAAAACACTTGAAATGTATTGTAGCGTATAAGATTGTGATCACCGGCGGTGATTGATCACATTCTAATTTCTTATCAAAACAACAACAACAACAACATGTTTCTTCTGACGAGTTCTCCATCGAAATAAATGAAAACTGTTATATATACAAACAATTTCCTCACGGGCATGTTTTTTCATATTTCAATCCGCATGTTTGATCTTCTACTCGAGTAAGGATAACTTACCTTTATGAGACATTGATAGATCATTGTGAATATCCATTGTATCGGTGAACTAGAATGAAGAAGAAAGAAAAACGGATAAAGTAAGAACGAAACGATCACTTTCGAACAAATTTTATTTACCCCGACATGTTTTTAAACTAATCTTATCTGAATGTCTGCTTTGGTCTGTAGTTTTTTTCTTCTCCTTCTCTAATTCTATTTCTCTAATTGTGATTTATTCAACTATATATTTAATGTTCATTGAATCATATATTTATTGATCATCAACAGTCATTCATTGGGGCGTATGTTTTCTTTTCAATATAACAATCCGAAAAAAAAGGAGGAAGAAATCTTGGAATACAATCGAATATCTTGATTATCTTTGAAAAATACATTTTCCGTTTCTTTTCTCTTTTTCTCCTCTCGATTTTCCTTTTTTTTTATATTGAGAATATTAGTAACAACTTACAGTTCAGTGGGTTGGAACTTGTTTCGGATCACACACGGGCGGGCGGGCGGACAACGCTCGCACGGATTCGGTTAGTTAGCCTCGTGTGAACGCTCGATTTGTGCGCTTACAACTGAAAGCATCGAGACAAAACACATATACAAGAGAAAAATCGGGCAAGCGTATAACGACAAGAAAAAGAGAAATAGATCGCGAAAGGATAAGACAGAGATTGAGAGAAGGAGAAGGAGAGGGAGAGCGATGAAAAAAAAAAAATGCCAAAAGAAACTCTACCGACAGCAAATCCGATTGTTTGTCGGTCTTTTTCTCTTCTTTTTTCTCATAATTTTTTCTGCTCGAATTAACTTATTCGTCTTCCTCTCTTCTGACTGGCTACCTTTTTTTTTCTCTTTATTTCTGTCAGTCATATATCGACAACGACGTCGTCTAAGCACTTCATGGTAATCAAGTAGGCGAAGAAAAGAAGAGAACAAATTAATCATTGGTTGGCTGATTTCTTTTTCCTCTCGGGTCGTTTGCTGATTGGTCGGATATTTTTAGTCTGCCATTCTTTTCCTCGTCTTCCATCGCCATCATCATCATCTACCTGATTCTGCGAACGTTCCCTTTTATTCGACTCCTTCCGTCTTCTATTCATTGAGACTTA